GAGGGGCGGTCGGCCGTTTTGCTTAAGTCGACAAACGTCAACTCTGATTGGGAGACATTGTTCTGTCACTGACTCCTAAGTGGCGGACATGCGGGCTGATGAAAAAGAACATGTTACTCGAGGGGGCCGCGGCCCGACGTCAGCCGTCTTCTGAATCAAAGCGGTGACGTGAGCGCGGATGACTCACTCTGTTAGCAAGGTGAGGCCTCGAGGGGGCATTAACACGGAGCCAAAATACACCAGAGATGGCCTCGGCAGCTCCAGATGCATTTATGGAAATGCGTAAAAAAAACTAAAAAAACAAACAAACAAACAAACAAATCAAAAAAAAAAAAAAAAAAAAACAATTGAAAGCGTACGGCGTTACCCAAAACAGGAATGTTGGAAATGCATGATGAAACATGAGACATAATGCCACTCAAAGTCATGGTTAGTATTTAGGGCAAATTGATGCACTCTGACTTCATTGAAAAAAATGATTTGCTGCAAATGGGGAAAAAGTGCAATAAAATGCTACTTTTGTTCCGACTTATCCTGACTTCATCTAATGTCACGCAACAATTTAACACAGATGTCCCAAAAGATGTAATGCGTTCCAGAAAACTGGGAAATGAGAAATTCCTAAAACTGGCAAGTACCGGTAGTAACTTGAAGTCAGAAATCCTCTGTGTGAGGTATAGAAAATGCATTTCACAGAGTTCCAAGTGGTCTGCCATTCTGCAACAGCGGGACAAATACATACCAAAAAAAAAAAAAAAAACATTGTGGAACAACTGGGAAGTCTGAAATTTCTGACTTCTAGAATACTGTAGGACATGCGGAACAAAATGCCACATCAATTCAAAGATTCTCTTTGTGAAGTATGTAAGGCGAATTGAATAGACTTGACTTACAGTAGTCAGCCATTGCCCAACAATGAAACTAAGTAAAAACTAAAAGACCAGGGTCTAGTGTGTGACCTTTGACCCCTACATTGCAGGTTTGCATTTTGAAATGTATGACTTAGTTTGTTTGCAACCTCCCGCAACATTGATGAAAGGGAGGTAAAAGACTTAAGCTGCAAAACTGAGAAGGGAAAGTGCAATAGAATGCCATTAAGGTCACAAAAAATGATACAATGCTCAACTCGTTGACAGGTTCCATTTCGACTTTGTGTTCCGATACGCACAGATTTCTGAAAGGCAACATCAAGATGCCCGCCAACGTCTTCACATTCGGCTGCAGTGATTTAGAGCATCAAGAGTTCTACCCGAAACATGCGCGAGGTTTGATTCAGTGCCGTGACTCCGAGTACAGCAGGGAAACAGTAGGCCCTGTCTGTTTAATATTAAATTCAATCGTGTTAACATCTGGAATGCTCATCGGGGCGACAGAGGCAGCCATGAGAAAAGCGAGCAAGTGAGTGCGAATCGGAAGGAGGAGGAGGGAATGTTCTCCGAGGCGCTATTCCCATGGATCCTCGTCCATCTTGACACACTAACTGCGCGCGTCTGTAGTTACTGGTCTGTTATGGGGGGGGGGGGGATGCATCAAATCGCCCCCTCCAAAAAACCCACCAAGATACATGAAGTAGTGGCACTTGAAAGATAATTAGGGCTGTTTGAAATTGAAATGAGCTGACAGCAAATGCCTGCTAATCCATGTTTCAGCCAACAGAGCAGCGTGAGAGGAGGACAAGGCAGCGAGGACAATGAGCTGCTTGTGTGCCACATATTGAGCTACAAGTTCCCCACGCTGCCTGTATGGACAGCATTGGATTTTCCAGCACGGGAAAATCAAACGCTGCATTCAAGAACAATTGCTTTCTATCGGATCGTCTTTCTCTTCCCTGATGTGAGCAACAGTTTCAATGAACGGTGTCAGACTAACATTCGCTTCAGCAGTTTATCTTTACCAACTCCAGCCCAGCATATGATTTTGAGCAGAGTATGTATTTGTATTTGCACTTGACTGCAAACTCACAGAATGTCATTTCATCAAACCTAACTTTGGTTTGGCTTTAATGCAGAGCTTTCACCTTGTTTTTCTGCATTTGTTTCAATGCCCCTCAATTCACCTTTAACGGTCAAAGATGTGATTTTGGTAAGAAGCCGGTGCCATCTTTTAGTATCACATTCTTCCCCTAGAGGTGCTAGTGAGTCACAAACTAATTAGCATCCATTTCAACCATGTTTGTGTCAAAGTAAAAAAAAAAAAGTCAATTGGTAAAAGCACATTAAAAAAAATAATAAGACAAATAAGGCTGTGCAGTGCTAGCCAAAGCAACAGGTGGCGCTTTAAACACAAACCAGCAAGACATTTCAACCAATCATAGCCACAGCAATACATAACACCGACATACATAGGGGGAAAGCTTAGAAAAGAAATAATGCTTTTGTGTATGGTTAGTTTTGCTGCATTAAAAAAAAAAAAAAAACAAAAAAAAAAACATCAATTTACAGACTGTCTATCCAAGACAAATTGACAGGTGGCAACATACAAAGTAATATTAATCACAAATCAGTTATTCCAGAATATGACATTTGAATGTGACTTAAACAAAGCAGAAAAAGAATAATTACAATTCTACTGTAAACGTTTTTTTTTTTGGAGGGTTGGGGATATCGATTTTCATAAAAAAATTCTGACTTGGCTACTTTCTGTCCAAGATGTACATACATGAGGCTGCCTTGGTTTACGGTGGAACCAACCTATGGTGTGTTGGGGCTACATACGGCATGCAACGGCGTAAAAATCTCTGTATTGTATCAGTTGTTTTAGCCATTTTCACTTGGTAATCAAAATCCCCCAAATGTACAAGTTAAATATAAATTTGAGGGGGTTTTTTGTTTGGGTTTTTTTTTAACCAAAAACAAAAAAACAAAACAAAAGCAGGCTTGATTTTTCAGTTTTCATTTTAGGCTGAATAAAAACATACAACATGTAAAAACAGGTCACATGCCTGAATTTGATTTTTGAAGTTTGGTCCTAACCATTTGTGAAGCTATGTTAGCTTGTTAGCTAATACAGTGAGGCCAAACCCCAACCACTATCCATCAAATGGTCAATGAGCCATAGTTTATGAAGGACAAATGTGTTTAAGCATGACAGTATTCAGCTCCATGCATTACTGTATGTCCCACGCCAAAGGCTAACAAGCTAGTGTTTCTTCACTAATGCTAGTTACCAAACTTTCGGTTTAGGTCATGTAAACCCGACAGAGTATTACAGATCTAATTCAGTCTGTTTTGTTTTTGATTTGACCCTAAATTAGAGCAAAATTATATCGTGACAAACTATTGCACATTTACAACTTAGGTACAAATTTAGGTTACGTCGATGCCGTAGGAGCAGCTTTCTGTCATAAACTAAAAACCCGCAGTAAAATATACAGAGAATGTGGATCAGTGTTCACAAATTTACCTATTCACAAACATTTAGGGGAACCTACGCTTCATGACTGATTTATGCTCAGGCTAAAATAATAAATAATAATCTGGTGATATTTTGGTGCGGACGCTGAGGCGCTTAGTTCAGTTCAGTTTGTTTGTTTGTTTTTTTTGCTATCTATGGCCCATTATGGTACAATAGAAACCTTTTTAGAGGGTGCCAATTGCAGATTTCGGCTGTTTGCGGCAGGGTTCGGTGTCTATCCCTCGTGAATAATGGTGGTTCACCGTCTTCTTAAAATGCTGTTGCATTCGGCATGAGCACTTCTTAGAAACTTATAAATCATTATTTATCCAGGACAACCACATCAGGTCACATAATACTACAAAAGACAGATTACAGTAAGCTCACAAAAGAAGAGCTGTTACTTTGCCCCTGTTGTATTGAATTAAGAAGCCAAAGTCAATTATCGATTGAACATTGCATGAGAATTAATGACAAATTACCCGCACTGACTGGTCAGTCACCACGCTGTGCTTCCAGGATGGCTGCCGGAGCCCAGCATGCCACCCGGCGCAAGTCATTAAAGAAATCGGTTATTTACACCTTTTGCGAAAGTCAGTCAACTTCACTTCCAATGAGGTTGAGTGCACTTTAACTTCCTCCTCCACCATCTAAGTGCAGGTTTATTGTTCTTTTTTTTTTGTTTGAATCTACAGATTTACATTCGAGGACTGGTGGTTTTTTTTTGTTGTTGTTGCTAAAAACAGAACAACTTTAAATGCCAGAAGGGGAGGGAATAAAACAGAAAGCCTTCAATGGTAGCCAGTCTACTTGGTGGCTATTGAAAAGCACATCGGAGGACCCCACTCAGACATACTAAGACATCCCAACCCAAAGCGGGGTAAACACATGCCGATCGATAATGTCTAATTTGAGCATTTTGACTCCATTACGATCTAAATCAGCAAAGACTGGATGGTCTGATGTCTCTTAATTGATTATCCTAAACAGTTATTCTTTAATGTGGGGTGAGTTTGCGATGATTTTCAATCCCTCATAATCCGGGTTGTCAATTCCAAATGGGAAAATCGATGCTTACACTTTTGTGTGGTCAACATTAAATTGGGCTGAGTCACCGTCTCAGTGATTGTGATGTGGAAGGAAATGAATGTCACCAAAGTCACTCACCACAAAAATGAGATGTTTGAGACTGCACTATAGACACCAGCTAAACTAAACAGTTATCCGAGCTTCTTTTACAACTGCTGTTTCTTCTTATATTTTCTAGCGGTCTGGATGCCACAGAAAAAAGTCGATATGTGTGTACCCCGTTTTAGATAACTACTTATTGGTGTACAGTGAACCCCTGTTGGTCGCAGTGGAAATGGATTGAATCCCCCAAAACACCTTTGTAATTGCCTACGGATTTTACAATATGGCCACAATGCACTACTGGAAACTCTTCAACATAGTTCCTTGACACTAAAACGCCACAAGATGGTGCCTAAGTTATATAAAAAAATAAAATAAAAACACAAATAAGCGAGTTTCCCAAGAACAGCAGATAGGATAGGTTCTACAAAAAAAGAATAACAATCATAATAAAATTTGTACGTGGGGGGGGGGGGGGGGTTCACTGTACATGGTTTTTGAGAGACTTCAGAATGGCTTTAAAAAAAAAAAAAAAACATTCTCCTGTCCATTTTGAACTCCCACATCAGTTGCCAAATCCGGTCCCCTGCCAAATAGAGCCGAAGCACCCTAATCTTTTGGCTGCCTGCAAAGGTTGACTCTCCAAAGAAAACTGCCACGTTTATACTGCAATTAAAAATATAATCAGATATCAACTGCATTAATGAAACAACCCGTTTTGCTAACATTTTCTACATCTTCTGCGCTATACTGTTAAAAGTCAGTCTTTACTGTACAGGATGCACATGTATGCACCCGAAGTATGCGATGACATGCCAGAATTTTGCAGTGTGTTTAGCCAGGATAAAGTGCCTTTGAGTTGGAAACATTCAAAATGTTTTGTTTTTCCCTTGTTGGATCAATGTCGACAGGCCGACGGTCCTGCAGGATGTAACACACTCGCTAGGTCGCTGTCAGGCAAGATGTCCATACACAGTGTTCAGCACGACATGGCGTTGTGCTGTCCGTTCTGCGTTATGGGGTTGATCTTTTCCAGAGTGATCTCCGTGTCACTGTCTAAATTCCCCGAGATGGCCGGGCACAGTTTGTCCAAGGCATTGTTCACGACACCTACCTCCATCTCGTCCATGACGCCTCCATCCAGCTTGTGTAACTCCTCCTCCTGACACAGGATGCTGTGGGGCATCACGCAGCCCACCGAGTGGTTGCCTTCCTTTGGAATGTGGCTTTTGGGTTGGTACTGGCAACTGGCATTGGGAAGGGGCCCTCCGGCGTTGTTATTGATGCTGAGGATCTCGATGGTGTTGCTCCCAGGGCAGAGGCGGTGGCAGCCCAGCAGAATGGAGAAGGCCTTGCGGAAGTCAGCGTTGAAGGCGTAGATGATGGGGTTGAGCGACGAGTTGGCCCAGCCGAACCACACAAACACGTCAAAGGTGGTCGGGCTGATGCAGTGGAAGTCGTTGGCGTCCTCGGGCAGGTTGGCCTCACAGAAGGGGACCATGCAGTTGAGGATGAAGAAGGGCAACCAGCAGCACACAAACACTCCCATGATGACCGAGAGCGTCTTTAACACTTTGGTTTCTCGCTTGAACGACATCTTGAACGAACTCTCGCTCTCCGGGTTGGACGTGTTCCCCATGCTGCTGTGGCGGTTTTTGGCACTCTCAGCGGCCCTCTCCAGTGCGGATATCCTCCGGATCTGTTTTTGGGCGATGCGATAGATGCGGGTGTAGGTGACAATCATGATTGCCACGGGGATGTAGAAACTGATGAGCGACGAGGAGATGGCGTAAGACCGGTTAAGGCTGGAGTCACAGTTGTCAGCAGGCAGCTCGCCCGGGTAGGTTACGTTGAGCTCGGCGTAGCTGGTCGTCTGAGCTTTGTGCCAGTTCAGCTGAACGGGGATGAAAGAGATGAGAACGGACAGCGTCCATGCCACGCTGATCATCAGACATGCCACTCTGGGGGTCATTTTGCGTTCGTAGCGGAATGGACTCGAGATGGCCCAGTAGCGGTCCACGCTGATCACGCAAAGGTTCAGGATAGAGGCGGTGGAGCACATGATGTCGAACGCCACCCATACATTGCAGAACGCTCCGAAGGGCCAGAAACCTACGATCTCCGTCGCGGCCTTCCAAGGCATCACCAGGATGGCCACCAGGAGGTCGGAGATGGCCAGGGAGATGACGAAGAAGTTAGTGACCTTGGAGCGTAGGTGGCGAAATTTGGTGACAGCGACGCACACCAGCGTGTTGCCCAGCAATGTGGTGAAGATAAGGAGGGATAGGAAGCATCCCGTCAGAACCCGTTTGGACGAGTCGCGTTCAGGCAGCGGCTGTCTGCCGTCTCGAACCATCGAGAAATTGTGATCCATTGTTTACGCAAGATCGTTTCTGGGATGGGTGGGATTTTAGGGATCAGGGTAGTGGGGGCGTAAACCGTCACCCCATCACATCCCCCAACCGCTGCAGCTGTACCGCTCCACGGAAGGGTCTCAGGACTGAAAGGTCGGCCATCTCCGCGCCGCTTCTCCAGTCACCTGGGTCAGCCGTAGGCACCTGGTCAGAACCGCCATCCTGGCTTTCGGTGGTCAGAATCTCGCCAACTATCCTGGCATCAGCAGTCGCCAAATATTCTGTGCATATTATTCGGTTCGATTACTGCTCTGCTCATATGGTGCATTCAAAGACCGCAGAAAAGACTGATGTTACTCTACCGTCGACCTCCTGGGAAAGTTTCCCAACCACGTTTGTTGCCGAGCTGCGTTGAGTGCTGGCTGTCAGGTCCAGTCATTAGCTTTATATAGCACCTCGTCAATAACGGCTATCGACGGCTTTCGCAGTGCGTTTATCTGATTTGTTTAATGGGTACTCCAGGCGTTTCCACTTGACTATATCAGCTACCTGGATCGAAACCCACCGCTGCTGTTGGTTATATTTCTTCAATGTCTTTTAATGTAGATTGGTAAAAGCCTACCAATGCGTCCATGAGGTGGGCTGGTTAAAAAAAGTTATGTACTCAAATAAATAAAAATAGGTTGAAAGCATCATTCTCAAAGTGTCAGGATCACATAATCCGCCGTCAAGGTCACTTCCCAATATGGCAGATTTGCCTTTTAAATTTTCCTCGTTGTGCAATCCGTGGGTGGTTGGAAAATCCGTTAAAAAAAGTCCATCAAATTTAAAAAATAGTTGAGAACACCCGCGGCGTCCTGGCTTGCATTCTTCAGCATGCGTCTCGTCCCCACGCGTGCCAACGCCTCCGTGGGAAGTCACTCCTTGCGACGCTACTCTTTATTCCTACTTATTAATTTGTTGTTGTTTTGTATTTGGAGGGAAATTATCCTCTTGCCGCCTTGACCCTCGCGTGGAGCAGGAAGAGTGTAATCAAACAGTGGGGGCTCGCCGAGAGGCGCGCGCATCTCGCTCTCTCCCTCTTTCTCTCTCTCTGCACATGCCGCACAATTCAACCATCAGTGAGGAGCGAGGGGGGGGGGGGCGGGGGTGAAGAAAGGGGGCGTTAAGAAAAAAAAAAAGCACTACAACTACACCACATTAAATTCACTACAGAGCTTAGCCACCTCAAGTTTACTCATATGAAACTTGCGTGAAAAAAAAGACTGTCTAGTCACTCTTATTAATGGCTTAAAGATACTTTTATGAAATAAAGGTCATTCCCCCTATGAGTCCGCATCACAAAATGCTATTTTATTGCTAAATATGTAATAAAGGGAGTGGAGATGCTGCAAAAGAAGCCGTCCCGGTGGCCTGACATGAACTTGGAAAAGAAGTGGCTCAATGGCGCCATCGAGTGGGCATAAGAAATAAGGAGGAGGTCAATAAATATTGGCCATCTTTGATTGAGTCAGTCTCTGGCCTTCAGCTTGATTTAAAGGGGACATATTTGCATTATGATCATTTAAAATCACCATTTTTATAATACCTAAAGGATGAACCATTGTAGTATAGTCAGATAAACAAAGAAGCAAGTAAATAATGCTTTTTGGACCAATTATGTGAAGTTGGGTAATCTCTGGTGGCACAATTCCCCCAATACTGCACTATACTGTGTGTATGTGGTGACTGAACACAAAGCCAAGCCAACACCCCACCCATCCTCTGCATCTCCACAAGGTCACCGAACACTTAAGCGCCACTTTTTGAAAACCAACATTGTCAACTATCACTTGTGCAGCTGTTTACCTTACACAAAGCTGCCACTGGCTACTTGAACCAACTCCCCTATATTTCACCTTTACTGTGTGTGTATGAGAGAAAGAGAGAGAGAGACAGAGAGAAAGGGTGAGAGAGTGAACATCAATGTGTAGAGTATTTTAAAAACACAAAGTCTCCCTTTCCAGGCCTTTACATGTATGCGTCTATGACGTGTCATGACTAGGCACGTGTCGTGAGAAGCGCGTGTGTGTGTGTGCGTGCGTGTGTGTTGTGAGAGAGCATAATGCATGTAGACAAGCCAAGTGTAAGAGGCCTGGCAGACACAACGCCCACATTTCCCTGCAGCTCTGAGCCAGGCTATGCGTGCAGCCGCCCAAGTTCAAACCAAGACCATGTTAGACACAAACACGCGCACAGACACGCACACACACACACGCACACAAGCCGACACACACACAAGCAGCCATGCAGGCTAATTTATGTCTGCTCCAAAAAGCAAACAAAATAGAATAGGAATAGAAGAGAATAGAGATACGGATATGTCTTTTTTGTTATTTCATTCACTCCATGTTGACCTTTTAACAACGAATTTGATGTGACAATTAACTTCTGGCACTAATGAATCAAATCTGTTTGTGAAATTGCGGCTTTTCATATTGACCTTTGAAACACATTCTCGGAGTACACATTTATCTCGATGGTAGGGATGTTTCCTTTCATTTCGGAATACTTTTTTTAAAGGTGCCCTTCCATGTAGTCTCATTTATTTCCACTTATTATGCAGAACATATGTCACAATGAGTTTGTGAATTGTTTGTTTGACATCCATGCCATTTGTGGATTGGATGTAATGGCCTCCCGGATTTGAATTTGGCGGCATTTTGATGGAGTATTGTGCCTCATTAGTCAAATATGTGTGGATATATGGGGGAATGTATCAGTTCCTCTGAAGATGTATTTGTTTTAGAATTGCATGGCAGGTCGGATCAAATGTTCTTTTTACTTTTAATTAAATATTTTTTAAGCACATTTGGAACAAAAGGTCAAGAGGGATACTTTTTACGCCAAGGAATCATTGGTACTTTTTGGTTGCTTCATTTCTTTTCCATTTTGTCTTGTGAAGACTGTAGTGCAGACTACAAAAAATAAAAAAATAAAAATAAAAAAAATACATAATCAAACAGGCAAACACACTACGATAATAATAATTCCTTCTCTAGTCGGCTATCTGGGCTGAGCTAACTTGGCATCTTCACCTATGGTAATTTCATGCGCCGGCTCACTCTTCATTCTGCTGCTGCCAATAAATTGAGCTGTCAAACTGGCAGCTGAGATAATACAATACACAAAGAGGTTCCCAAAAATGGAACTTAAAGCCATCACCAAAGCCCCTTAAGTGGTATTTTTTGCAGACAGTGCTTGAGGAGTACCGGTATATCTTGGAAACATTCGCTATTTGACTCGGTAGACTGTGACGGGAATGGAGTGTCTCCAATCACCTAGAGTCCTGACAGGCAAAAAAGAAGGCATTGGTAATTATTTTTTAAATATACCCTACCCCATGTCGGTTTTGTTCTCAGTGGGCTTTGTGCTTATGAAAATCACGTGGGATCACACGAGAGGGTAAAACAATAGAGGTGTGTGATGCTCTTTGCCGAGATTATCGGAGCCAAGCACATTGTGACCGGTTTTCTATCTTTGTGTGTGTCGTCTGTCCCAGATGAAAAATCTTTCCGGGTGTGTACCAGGCTTGAACTCATACACAATTATGACCTCTCTCTCTCAGGGTTTAGGTCACTAGGCCAGCATTCTCCAGTGGTGATGAAGGCATGAATTACTGTTTCACAGTGCTCTTGAGAAAGGAGAGGCTTTACATAGACAGTATAAGTACGGCAACACACACCGTATACCTCTACGGGAACAAGATGTCTTGACATTTTCAAGTCAGGACAAGATGAAACTAGAAAGGGGGCCATGAGTTGGGCAGATTTAGGCTCAGTGAGTCAGTGGTCTGATAACACAGACAGACTGAGTCAGTGGACTGTGATTGTGTCCGTGTGTGTTTATGTTGCATACAGTAACGTTGAACAGAACAGGGTGGGGTGGGGGGGTCACAGAGGTGACGCTGCCAGGTTTGTAGGAGGAGTAACACCTGTAGGTGGTCAACACCAGGACCCCGGCATAGAGGAAAAGAGTCATCGAGAAAAAAAATAACAGTGAATATATATTTGTAGCTGACCTTATGGATAGTTTTGGATCAATTATGCCACTTGACTTTTTTAATGATAATTTTTGCATAGTGTTATAAAAACAAAATACAGAAAAATATGTCATGCTATTGGCCTCCCATAGCTCAACAAATTAAAAACACACTTTCACATAGCGACCCTTGAGAGGATAAAGCGGATCAGAAAATGGATGGATAGAATTTTACTAGCAAAAAAGAAATAAAGGGATAAATGGTTTTGTATGTGTCTCATCATACCCCCAATTGAGTTGTTTGCCTTGTTAATGTTCCTACGCCATCTAGTGGTAATTATTAATAGGACCACAAATCAACATGTGCATTCACCAACATGCACTCAGACAACTTTATGAGCTCTGCGCAGCCAATATGAAATGACGATATGCCAAAGTATACTGTAGTTCACTACTGATTAAACGAAGGAAGAAGAACACGCACAGCCCCAAATGAGACGTGTTTCTGCGGTCACGTGACAAAACGTCACTGACACGCGCCTCGAAACGAGATTAACTTTTTCCATATATAATAATATCCCACACTTTTTTGGGGGTGTGGAGATATATATAACTTTTTTTTTTAAACGGTAGTTTCTGACTGCGTGATGTTTAAGAATATTGACAACGCACAGCAGGATTTCTTGTATCGGCTGCGTTTAATAGTCTCAATCACGAAACCTGACTTAAATAGCAGAAAACAATGTGATCCCGTCAATTAGTGATACAGCGTGCCCCTCCCCGTGGACATCGAGAAAAAAAGGTCACTTACAACACAACATACCTGACGAAAATAGCAGAAAACAATGTCCTCCAGTCAATTAGAGTGATGCAGCTTGCCCCTATACAAATTGTATGGTACAGCAATGTATTAAAATATTTAAACTTGTAAATGAAAACAATAGGTTTTTCCAGCTCTTAAAATGCTTACCTCCACATGAACATTAAGTGAAAAAGGGGAGAGTCAAAAGCTGGAGTTGTACTTAGAAGAGGCAGTGCCACATTAATTATTGAAGTAGGGGAACGCATTAACATTTTGTTCCACCCTTTGATAATGACGGATATAGCAAAAGAACACGTAAGGTATTTATCACTGCACAGATTTTGAGTAATTATAATACGGTACAGCAAGTTTTTTTACTGGCCCTGTGAGACACACACACACACACAGTTCTATACTTTAAATGTAGTGTGGTGTGTACAGAGTATTATGATTAGTTTTTTCAAACATATATACACGGTCGGAGTTTGGAGTGACGTGACATTTTTATCTCAAATACAAACTGCCATATTGCTCGCTGTGCAGCAGGGGTCCTTAAAGAGCTAAGATGAATGAAACATCGGGTAATTAATTATTGGCTGATACATGAGAGACAATGTTTCACTGGTTCACGAGGCTTCACTTTGCCCATCACTACTGAGTAGTGTATGTGTGTAAAATAACTATACAGTATACAATTGTTTCTTCATGACACCAGCAGTGAAGTAACGCACTCTCCGTTGTACGTTTCATACCCGGAAGACGAATGTTGCGTGATGACGTCATAGTACAGTGTCGCGCGAACGCTTGGAGTATGAACTGTTCAACCTGAAGGCTCGTTCCAAAATAAGGTGTTTTATGTTTTCGTGGCACAATGCGACTTTAGACAAATACTGACCATTTTCATTATTTCGTATCATGCATTGACGGTTGTTGTTGATTGTTATTGTACGTACGTTAATATCGTTAGTAACAGTAGCTTACCATGTCGTTTCGCTTCGTGAGTGAGGTTAGCCCGACATAAAAGTAGTTCATTCTCAAATAAACAAGTATTGGATCCCCAAAACATCTACGAAGCCATCCGAACTACTTGCTTTCTGTTGTTACCTAGCTATACCTCGAACTATATAGTACGGTTCGTTGTAATGTTTTAAACCCAGCTGCCCTTCGTGCAGCCCAAAATCATGCGATCTTTTCCTCAATATGACCCCAAAAGACAATAAAATGGTGAAAACGATGTGTATTATCCAATGATAATATCCTATAGAGTTGCTACTTGTTTATACAATTCTCACAACAAGTCTGGGCTTTCGGGTGAAATTTCTGGACGAACCGACCTAAAATTCACAATAAACGTTACAGATGAACTTAATTTGACCTTTAATCCATGAATCTGTGTACCGGCATTACCCCAATGTGGAGAAATCAATGACATTTATGTAGAATCAAATCTAACTAATCAGGTCCTGCCTGCGTCTATTACTGTGAGATTGAATCTTTTTGATACTGTTGTCACCATATTTGTAAGGTTCCCACTTTTATGTCCTAAATCACTATTGCTCAGGAAAGTTAAACAAATGGAAAACTTTAAAAGAAATACGTGCCCTCCAAGACGCTCAAAACAAAACTATTTTGACTTTTTTTTGTCTCTTCCAGAAAGCAATCATGTCCAAAATAGACAAGATGAGCATCCTGGGGGTGCGAAGCTTTGGAATTGAGGACAAAGACAAGCAAATAATCTCGTTCTTCACTCCCCTTACTGTTCTGGTTGGTCCCAATGGAGCAGGCAAAACGGTACAAGGACTTCCATAGAACCCGTGGAAAACCAGGAACACACACTGGAGTCAAAATGGACTGAATATTTTTTTTGTTTGTTTTTCAGACCATTATTGAGTGCCTCAAGTATGCTACAGCAGGGGAACTTCCCCCAGGTTCTAAAGGAGGTGCTTTTGTCCATGATCCAAAGGTGAATCATTATACCTTTGGATTGTTGTAAAGTGTGTTGGTGTAAGTTATACCTGGGTCATTGGAAGATGAATGCTGTAGGTTCCCCACTCCCATGCTAAATTCTAATAACAGCTTTCATCAACATGTGATTCTAGGATGCCCATGAGACAGACGTGCGAGCACAGATTCGACTTCTGTTCTCTGATGTCAATGGAGAGAAAGTCACCATCCAACGTTCCATGTCCTGCACCCAGAAGGCGAAGAATTACTCCTTTAAAAGCCTAGAGCAGGTTATTAGTCGGATAAAGTAAGTCAGACTTTTTAAAGCTCCTGGCTTTTTATTTTTTTTTATAGTACCTTGAAGGGTGACCGAAACAAAACACAATCGATGCTCATATTGTCTTCATGTGTTCATCCAGGGACGGTGAAAGCGTGAGCTTGTCATCCAAATGCGGCGAGCTGGATCGCGAGATGATTTCTGCACTCGGTGTATCCAAGCCTGTGTTGAATCACGTCATATTCTGCCATCAAGAGGATTCCAACTGGCCACTCAGTGAGGGCAAGGCGCTCAAAGAAAAGTTTGATTCCATCTTCGCTGCAACCAAGTAAAAGTCAATTCATTTCATTCCTCCTCTCACTGCCAGTAGATGTGTATCTGACGTTCTTATCACATTCAAGGTATATCAAAGCTCTGGATACGATGCGTCAGTTGCGTCTCAAGCAGAGCAACTCTGTGAGAGAGTGCCAGGTGGAGTTACGCTTCTTGAAGCAGAACAAGGAGAAGGCCCAGCAGATTAGAGAGATTGTCGGTAGCAAGGAGGCTCAGCTGATAGCCTCCAAGGACAGCATCCTTGTGCTTGAAAGCCAAATTGAGCCACTGGAAGTATGTACTGTTTCACAGTTTGAGTGTTGTTTGATAAAATGACTTATAAATGAGTGATGTTTTTATTTTGTTTTTTGTCAGAATCGGCTGGCAGACATCGACTTGAAATTGGGCAAGGTGATGAAGCTGGACAATGATATTAAGGCTTTGGACAGCCGGAAGAAACAGATGGAGGAGGACAACAAAGAGCTCGAGGAAACAATGGAACAGGTGCAAGATACAGATGGTTCACATAATCATAAAATGTACACTTACCTGACACTTCATTGAGCAATTGAGCCTCTCGTATATGTTGGCTTGCAGGTGTTCCAGGGTTCAACTGAACAGCTGCAAGAGGTTTACCAGAACCACCAGAGAACAGTGAAGGAGAAGAACCGCAGGCTGACAGACTGCCAAAAAGAGTTGGAGCGAGCCGACAGGGAGTGTCAGAGACTCAACAGGGAAAAGTCCGATCTCCTGGTGGAACAAGGTACATATCCGCTTCAATACATGACCATATTAATTTTAATGCACCGAAAAAAAAATTAAAAATCTATGTCCTCTGGTCTTCCCAGGACGTGTCCAGCTAGAGGCTGACTGCCACACACAAAACATCAAGACCCGTGACACTCAGGTGAGAACAAAACAATCCTGCCAACGATGAATGACCGCACTCAGTCGAATACATCGGACCAATTTGAAAGGAAAAGCATATATTAGTTGTTTCACCAAGTACCACTTAAAATGGTTGGTTGGGTTTTGGGACATTGGCAAGGATGCCTGATCTCTAAATCGAACTGTTGAAAATACCCGGTCCTTGAGAGAGTCGAGAGGCTGACTTACAATTTGCTGTTGCAGGTTCGGTTATTGTCGTCCCAACTGGAGGTGGAAGGCTACGACCGGCCACCCTTTACAAGGGTTCAACTCGAGAGCTTTCATCGTCATGTCGCTCAGAGACTGGAGCAAGAAAGAGAGACAGTCGCTCAGGTTATGGTAAGAAAAAAAGTCACACCACTCAGGCCAATTAATTGATGCATTACGTTCGGTATCACACGCCACCTCTTTTTGCCTAAACCAGGCGGACCTGCAGGAAAGGGAGCATCAGAAACAACAGTCAATTGATGAGATCAGGGATAAGAAGACGGGTCTGGAGAGAACAGTGGAGCTCAAAGAAGACCTGCTGGGAACGAAGCAGATTGAGCTCCGGAATGTCCGCACTGAGCTGCAGAGGCTGGAAGGTTCGTCCGGCAGAATGCAAGAGCTGGAAAACGAGCTGGCAACAGCGGTGAGTTTGTCGATGTTTCCACGGTTGGCGTAAAAAAAAATAAAATAAAAAAAAAATCTGTAACAGCCATTCATGCTTATTTCTTTTTAGGAGCGTGAGCTGCAGAGCACCCTCCAGACGTCCAACGTGGAAGAGCTAAAAGTTGAGGTTGTGCAGCTCCAGAGAGAAAAGGCAGAGCTCGACCGCACACAGAGGCAACTGGACCAAGAGATGGGAGTGCTGAACTTGCACACGACTGCGCGCACACAGATGGACATGTTGACTAAGGACAAGGTGGCATTTGTCATCCATGTGTGGGCTCTTCCTCGTCCATGTCTGTTGTTTCCCTTCATAGCAATCCCTTTGTTTCGGTTTTGTAGAAAGAGAAAGAGGAGCAGGTACGCAAGATCAAGTCGCGTCACAGTGACGATCTGGTGTCACTGCTGGGCCACTTCCCCAACAAAAGAGAGCTGGAGGACTGGCTTTACTCGAAGTCAAAGGAAATACACAGCACCAGGGACAAACTGGCCAAACTCAAGTATGTTCTCATGATAGAATTATTTACATTGTCCATTAAAACATTGTTTAAAATTTTGAAAAGCTTCGATGTCTACCAGCATTGCAGTTCCACTTTGCAGGTTCCACTAAGATATATTTTTTTGCCTTGTTATTGAACCTTACTTTGTCATGACGAGCCTGTCCTAATTTCACAACTCACAGTAAGGACCTGGCTTCCAGCGAGCAGAATAAGAGCCACATTGCTGCCGAGCTACGTAAAAAGGAGCAGCAGTTGACAAACGATGAAGAGAAATTTTTCAACGTGTGCGGCAGTCAAGATCTGGAGCAGGACCTGAACAAAGTGCAGGAGGACCTGGAAAAAATGTCCAAACAAAGAGGTTGACATGTGCACCAATAGTCTCATTCATGCAGAGAAATGACAGAGTTAGATTAGTTGTATAATTTGTTGCTCTCTTCTAGCCATGCTCGCTGGAGCCACTGCCGTCTACACTCAGTTCATCAGCCAGCTGACTGAGGAGAGAGAGCCCTGCTGCCCCGTCTGCCAGCGGACGTTCCCGTCGGAGCCTGACCTACAGGAGGTCATCAGCGACATGCAGTCCAAACTGCGTTTGGTTCCAGATAAGCTGAAAAACACCGAGCAGGACTTGAAAAAGAAGGAGAGGAGGCGAGATGAGATGATGACCCTAAGACCAGTCAGGTAGAAGATCTCAACTCTAATACAAGGCGTCCTCAGTTTCTGGTGGGGTTCACAGTTCTTCTGCTGGTGACATAACCCAAATTTCTACACGTTGTAGTTTTTCACCAACCTACACCAAAGCAGTGGCAAAGTCATGATTACATCACATATTTGTATAAAAAAAAAAGTCAGAAATAAATATGAAACAACTAAACGAGAAAGAGTACGCGTGTAGGTAACCGGGCATGTCTGCTGCATGGCGACCAATTTTTATGCCATGTTGCACATGCAAAGTTTTTTTTAAGAAGATAAATTGACATGCTGTATGTTTGGCAAAAATCATATAAAAATGTGTACCCGTCCCCACAGGCAGTCCATCGTGCAGTTACAGGAGAAGGAGTTGCCTGAGCTGAGGACTCGACTGCAGAGTGTGAACAGGGATATCGAAAGGCTGAAAAGTGATGCGGAGGAGCAGGAGACTCTGCTTGCCATGTTGATGTCAGAGGAGGAAACTGCCAAGGCCTGTCAGCAGGACATCGCTCTTATGGACAGATTCCTGGTACTACTCTCTTGTTTGCCTCTCGGATCACATCAAGAGAATTCACGGTGTAATTGTTGTTCTTTGTAGATGGATCTAAAGGAAGTGGAGAGGAAAATAGCTCAGAATGCAGCCAAACTCCAGGGAGTAGACTTGACCAGAAGCGTCCAGCAAGTCAGTCAGGAGAAGCAGGAGACTCAGCTCAAGTTAGACACCAGTAAGATGTCACATGGTTAGCAAGATGGAATCACGGAAAGTGTCATTAAATACTTGCACCGTGCTTCTCCGACATTTTTCCCCGCGCAGCATCCAGCAAGATGGAGCTGAAGCGGAAGCTGATCCAAGACCAGCAGGATCAGATTCAGATGCTGAAGAGTTGCGTGAACGAGACCAAAGCGGAGAAACTCCAGCTGAGCAGCGACATGCAGAAGCAGCAGCAGCTGGAGGAGCAACGTGTCGATTTCACCACTGAGATTCAAACCTTAACCAGGGACATCCAGGTACTTTGATTGTCATCTTGCCGCAGTGGTCCTGTCTTTTCGCTTTGTAACCGAATGCCAGGCTTCGCGGAAAGAAAATAAAAAACAATTAAATCCCGCCTTCTTGCCACAACCAGGAAGCAAAGGAGCAGCTGTCTCCGTTGCAGTCCACCTTGAATAAGATGCAGCAAGAGAAACAGGAGTTGACGGAACGTAAAAGGCAGAAGCAGGAGCAAGGACAGGAGAAGGTGGACGCGTGTTAACTCACAAGTCAAACCCGGGTGTTATTCCGTCTTTGTGCAGTTATGTTAACCTACTTCACGCTTTGTCAACGGCAGATTAACGCGATCAAAGAGAAAGTAAAGACCATCTCCATCTTGGAGAAGGACATCAACAAGTATCTTGAAGAGGGCAAACATAAATACAAGGAGGTAAGTTGTTTATTGTTTGACCCTCAAATACTTCATTGAGTGATCCATCATTTGTTAAATCTAGCATCCGGTAAAGTGCCACTTGGCCCATAAAACTTTGAAGATTCTCAAACGTCTTTCTATTAAGAGTAAGCAAACCTCCTAAGTGTTGTTGCAGCAAAAAGAGGCTGCGCTTCAAGCAGCCAGCACCTTGCTCCATGAGGCTGAACGACACAAGGAGAAGATCAGCAAAGAGATGGGAAACATCCGTCAGGATATTGACACGCAAAAGGTAAAGTAATTGTCCCTTCTGCCGTCTAGTGGAAGCCCGTTTAATTGTTCTGCTTGTACGTTGCTTGCACTGATAAGTGGTGTAATATTTTTTTTTTTTCTGAAAATGAAAATGCGCTGTGTTTGGAAGTCATTCAATCACGGTTTCACGCCTATTTTCTCATGTGGCAGGTTCAGGAGCGCTGGTTACAGGACAACCTGACCCTAAGAAAGCGGGTTGAGGAACTTAAAGAGGTTGTGGCTAAGCGGGAGGCCCTTTGCAAAGACATAGGCAACATGCAAGTGATGCAGCTACGCCAGTAAGGCCCCTCGTCTGTGCTTCGCCAAGTAAATCCGTGAATAAGCTGCCGTCAGTTCATTTCGCGGTTCTCACTTCACCTCATTTTGCGCTCATGCAGAGAACGGCGTGAAGCCGAGCGCAAGGTGGAGGACCTAAAGAAGAGCCGCAGCATTGCGCTGGGTCGCCAGAAAGGCTTCGAGGAGGAGTTGCTGCATCACAAGTGAGCTACGTTAGGGTACCGAGCTAGCTGGTCTCTTGTCATCGCCTCGACTGTCAGTCCCTCGCGTTTGCTTCACAAAAACCTTGACATCTCTGGATGGCTCATTTTTAGAAAAGAGCTGCGAGAAGACCAATACAACAAAGCAGACGAGCTCTACAAAAACAAGATGATCGTAATGCGCACGACAGAGCTGGTCATCAAAGACTTGGATCTCTACTACAAAGCCCTTGATCAGTGAGTGCGACGCTTTGTATCCAGATCCTCCTCGAAAGGTTTATAATTACTTCTAAGTGACGCAGGATGGTGGCAATGCAAACGTTTTGTCAAAATACAACACTTCCACTCACTTCTACATAGTTCCTTGGCATAAAGATGCAGCAAAATGGCGACAAAGCACTTCTTTTGCCAAAATGAAGCTCCCTAATTCACTTCTTGGCACCAACGTGGCACAAACGTCAATTTTGTTGTTTTGATCTGAGCACAAAAACCAGGGAATATGTGAATGGTTGCCAAGATTGCTTGTAATTGTACTTCTGGCAATGTCTTCTGGCATCTGTCTGAGCTTTTAAACAATAAAATTCAGCACCTATCTGTAGCTTGAACAAAAATAATCATGCTGGGCACAGGCGGCCAATAAATCTGTAAAAATAACTGGAAGAAAGTAGATTATGGAAGCGTCAGAGGGAATTTATGGGGCAGTGTGTCACTATCGGAGAGTCATAATGGCACAATGTGGGAGTGTTATTTCCCTCACGTCTGCACCGGTTGAGTCAGCTCTTTCGTCAGCACTATCAAGATCAAAAGCAGGTACGCCTTGGCCACATTCCAAAGGATGGGGGCGCGTATGGCCCAGTTATTGTCACAGTGGCCAAAAAAATTGACTCGGCCTTCAACAGCGAATCATGGCAAAAGTACGTTCTATCGACCGCAGTGTGGCGTACAGGCTTTGGTTTAGACACACACAAAAAAAAAAAAAGTCACTTGAAATCCTGACTCCACTGCCCTTTTTTTTTTCGATTGGAGTGACGCACAAGTAGTTCTCAAAAATATCTAGCCAATTTTTGGACACATTGTCCTCGTGAATTATTTTCTTTATATGTGTTCAGAAGCTTCAAAAATAACTGGCAATAATTTGCTGTGCAGAATCAAAAACCCTTCCTACATTCTGTCTTGTCAGCAAATCAAGACGGATTGGCAAAACCGACTTTTCCGATTTCGTCATGACGCGCCTCTTCGATTGCCATACATGGGCGTCGGAAGACGGTGGTCGATTTCCGCTTGGTATTTTGACATTACAGTCGTTCATCAGTTGCCGAGGTCATTGATCAAACGCTTCCCGTAACACAGGAAGACAACATCCAGTCAGCTTCAGTTTTATCGCCTTTATCAACCTACTTGTTTACCGTATATCATCAATCAGTATGACACAGATTAAAAATATCTTGTGACCCACAATCAAAACTGGAAAAAAAAAAAGGCAATATCACATTTTGTGGTTGGGCTGCCTCCCACAAGATTTATTTTACATGTAAAAGAAAACTGTTGAGCAAATAAAGCGCCGTTTGGCCATGCTATTAATTTAAGGCTTAACTGTAAGTTTTTATGAACTGCTAAAAGTCTCCAAATGTCAGGCATCAACATTTAAATTGCCTTGAGTTGATTCTAGTGCTATCTACGAACTGTGGACTGGTATTTGGTTTCTATTTAGTTGACAATATTTTGCAGGTACAGGTATTAGCAAATAGTTTTGTGTGCATGTGCAGCACAAAACAAAATCGAGCATTCATACTATATTCATCTCTTTTTTTTCCTGAGGTAGTCATAAAATAAGTATTGATTTGATTGATTTTTTTTTCCCGCCACAATAAGCACATCACTCTTTGTTCCTTTCAGAACCATCATGAAGTTCCACAGTATGAAGATGGATGAAATCAACAAAATCATCAGAGACCTTTGGCGCAGCACCTACCGAGGACAAGGTACGTTACCCTTGCGCCTCTTTCGCACAAAGATTCGCAAAATTTCCACATCGTGGCTTTACCAAAAAGAAAAACAAGTCAGACGCCGGATTGGGTTCAGTCATTGACTGTAGTTTTTAAATAGTTGTCAATTCAGGGGCCCAACCAACTGGTGTGAAAGGTTCACTCTGACCCATCCACATCTCAGTCATCCTCCTTTCCTCCTTCCAGACATCGAGTACGTGGAAATCCGCTCAGACGTGGATGAGAACTCGTCTGCCGGAGTGAGACGTAGGATTTACAACTATCGAGTCGTTATGGTCAAGGGAGACACCGTTTTGGATATGAGGGGACGCTGCAGTGCTGGCCAGAAGGTACCTGCTTGACTTTTTATTTCTCACTAGCTTTGTGCATATTGTGTGTTATAAGTTTGAACCTGTGTGTGTGCACGCGCAGGTGTTGGCATCTCTTATTATCCGTCTTGCCTTGGCGGAGACCTTCTGTCTGAATTGCGGTATCCTGGCACTGGATGAGCCCACCACCAACCTGGACAGAGAAAACATTGAATCGCTGGCACACGCCCTTGTTGAGTGAGTGCACGCACGCACGCACACACGCACACGCACACACACACACACACACACACACACACACACACACACACACACACACACACACACAAACCTGCAACGACAGCAACTCACATCTCGTTTCCTCTTCTCTGATTGGGACAGGATCATTAAGAGTCGTTCCCGCCAGCGCAACTTCCAACTGCTGATCATCACGCACGACGAGGACTTTGTGGAGCTGCTGGGCCGCTCCAGTTACATCGAACACTTCTATCGCATCCGCAAGAACCAGGACCAGAACTCTGAAATCACGAAGTGCAGCATCAGCTCCCTCTCCTCCTATCTGCACTGAGCATGCCGCCACAGTCGTACAGTAAACTCCCTTTTGGTTTCATCATTACCCGTTGGCTGTTCCATTCATGTTTGTTCACGATTGAAGAAATCCCCTGAATTTACACAAAAATCATTCTTTGAATAAAAATTCAATTTTTCTGTGCATTTGTTTTCGTTTTTTGCTTTCTGAATTAACCAAAACAGAGAGACATAAGACTTAATTTTGCACCTCAAGCCCATGCCTTAACAAGGTGTCTGCAGATCCTTAAAAACTGCATTTTGATTTTGCCAAAATGATATAATTTTATGATCAACTGTTCAGATGGCCTTAAAAAGCTACGTTGTCAGAACCAGCTCACAAAAAAACGACAAGTCAATGTTTATGTAGTTGATCATAAATAGGGTAGATTTGGGTTTCTTGCATTAATAAGGGCTACTTCCTGCAAGCTGCAATCAGTGTAACAATACCATATTTCGGACTTGAAGAGAATCTCAATAATATTGTTGGGAAAAAAAATTACAATATGATCCCATACAAAAACGTCATTCCCCTTCAACTTTAAATGTTGCTAGAACTAATTGATTGCAATTCTGATATTGGGACGAGATGTAAAAACGGCCACTCTAATATTTTGACCTAATATGGCACTCAAATTCAAAGAAACATATCTCATTTTGTTGGAAACATAATCAAGCAAATCTCATTTCCTGTGTACTGCAAGAGTGTCACTTTTTTAAGGCGGGGGTGGGGGGGCACACCATCAAAGGGGTGGGGTAAGATGAGTATAAGTCCCGTGCTCGTGATTGAGGTGTCAGAATGAGCTCGTAGCTGCCAATTGAAGCGATTCCTCGATTCAAGCTTATTTCGGCAAGGTCTTCCTACAAGCAAAAATGATGACAATGATGACAGTGGCGCTCCTGATGATGTCCTCCACAGCCTTGCTGGGCCATCCCGCTCCAATCAAGCCCGCCCGTGGAAGAGTTGAGCATAAACTCAGACCCATCATCGACCTGGTTGATCGCAACATATCATTACCCACGGTAAGTGAAACAGTTTCAGTCCTCAATAACTCTTTTAAAAAAAACAAAACGTATACATATATAGTGCAAATAAATTAAAATTCTACTTTTAAATTCTACTTTTTTCCCCCCGCCCCCACAGGGAGACTTTCAAAATTTGAGACATCTGGCAGAAGGCAGCAAAAACTGTGAGGTGAGGATGAGATCATTTCTGTCAATATTTTTGGATGTTAAGGCACACAGATACACAATTTTTTTTCATGCATAATGATCATTTTGATTTGTTCCAACAGGCCAAGTTCTTCTGCAAAGTTCACGAGCTGATGGACAAGCCTCAAGAGACCAAGGAGATTGCCAGACATTTGAAGGTGTACAATGATCTGAAAGAAGTAAGGAGAACCTTTTGTCTGTTGTTTTTTTTTTGGGGGGGTGGGGGGGGGGCAAGGGGGCACGGGCATCACTCTGACCATTATCTTGTGTTGCAGTTCAAATGCAAAGATGTCCAACAGCAAGTGCAAGCGACGGGCAACAAATACCCAATGTCTTTTCTCATTGACGATCTAATCGGATGCATCCGATACCTAAACACGCTCGGCTCAGCGAGCATCACCGTGCGCCCCACCAATGCAACCCAGCCGTCTGAATAGATGCAAAGGTCACCTTGAAAATGTTTACATGAATGATGTTTTCCTCAGGATTAAATGTGTTCCCCCTGGTTTATAAAACAGCTACTGTACTTCATCAACTTGAACAGCGTCGAATCGCAATCCCCAATCCCTTGGAATTCATCTATTTATTATATACTGTGTATTTAAAGGGCACATTTAATGTATTCCTACCAATAAAAGAGAAAATTAAATCTTATTGCCCACTCATGAAATGTGTTTGTAACCTTTTTTTATTCTTATGGTATAGGCGAGACCAGTGGTTCACAAACTTTTGGTCATGGGGCATTTTTTATTTGTATTTGGGTTTTTTTTTTCCAACCTACACAGACAATTTTGACAAGGAGAGCATGAATGAGAGAACAACAAAAGGGACACAGATGGGGTTCTTTGCTACATTTTCTTGTCTTAATTTGGTGAGTCCCAGCCAGGGTATCTCACTTCCTGTAGGGAAGGTAGCCAAGTAGCATCTGTAGATGGCCGCCAGGGGGAGTACAATGTCTTTGTCGCGTGGGGAACTCATTTCTACACTGTGGTCTATGCAGTAACATTAGTCCATGTGGAATAAAAAAATGCTTCGACTTTTTTATGTTGTTGTAATTGAGCAATTCAAGTGGTTTAAGGAATAATTTCAATCATACACAGCCGTTCATATCGAAATCACCGACAAGAAGCAACAAAAGTGAATACACACCGAAGTGAAAATGTACCCATTGGACCGATGTTGGCCATTTTCCTAAATTAATGTCATGTCATATGATTAGTTGGTGTTTCAATGTCTCAGGTGTGAATGGGGAGCAGATGTGTTTTTTTTATTTTTTTTATGTGAAGGTTGGACTCACTCTCAACGCCAAAGCAACCTAAAATGTTACTAATCACAGGGTGTTACTGTAATTTGGTTTTGAATATTTGATATCAGCAGGTTTTCCTCTTTTGTCTTCTTTAATCGTGTCTAATAATCTCAACTGGAAATCTCCACTTTACCATCACATCAAGCACTAAACTCTCCAACAGTTTCAATTCTATCTATCATTCCTTTTTTTAATAGACTAGCTAATTTGTTTATTAGCTACTTTGACTCTGAAGCTGTAATCAAATATGAATAAGCTCCAGTTAAGTATTCAGCCCACAAAGAAGTCTTAAAGAAACTGTTGTCTTGGGCTGGTGCACTCAAGCACTCGGGCCAGTCCCAGAAATACACGAGGGTAGATGCACAGTTCTCTGGGACGAACACGTTTCAGCACTCTTCTCCCTCTTGCAGCCGTCACTGGGTGATGTGATGCAATGTGAGCGCTATATGGGCAGGAGGAGGGGTGCACAGGACGCTTCTTGTTGCTGGTCACATACATGTGCCAAATTCAGGGTGTGCGCGCGCACACTATTGAATCTTGATGCTCATTAGTACTGCAGTTAAAAAGAAATTCCCTCCGTTTTTTTTTTTAAATCGAAATGATAAAAGAATCGCAAAACTTTTAAAATCAATCAACTACTCACGTTAATGTTTTTCGGTCTTTTCCTGGAAATGACTTACTTCTACCAACTGATTGGTTATGATGATCTTGGCACTTGGGGATTTAGCGCCACCTGTTGCTGTGGCATGCACTTGACAGCTTGCTCATATGTTTGAGTAGAATTTACCTCTTTTTTTAAGCACATTTGTTGGCGACAATAGATATCTTTGTGTTGGATGGTATCAGACAAATATATATCAAATACTGTATATATAAATATATCAGACAAAAGTGCCTTCAGTCAGCGCTTGTTTCAACCTCTTCGTGCCATAACTGTGTCAACACGCACATTGGGCGTTAAAAGACATTTTTATGTTTCTTGATGTTTTGTTTTTAACCTTCTTTCTCTCTTTTTGTGTGCAGTCAGCTGCTTTTGGTCCAGTAGCCTCAGGCCTGACTTGAGGGCCCGGGGCCTCTGGGATCAGACGGCGAGGTTGGCGGGGGGGTGGTGGTGTTGCCGCAACTGCCACGGGCCGTCCTCTAGGGCCCTCAGCTCTGCGTTTCATGTGAGTCTTCAAAGAAGGGGAGGAGGGAGGCGGTTTGTGCCATTGTTGTGTTCTCCGCCATCTTGTAACACTTCTGACTTCCTTGTTTCCATGCTTTTCTCTTTGAGACTCAACCACGTCTTCGAACGAATATCCTTCAAGAAGCATGATTACTACGAATACGGAAGGCATTACTGTCGTTTTGTAAAAAAAAAAAATCTTGATCACGTTCAGATTTTGTTTGGAACATGATTGGAAGTGTTTTTTTTAACTTTAATCAAACTTTGTTTCCTCCTTATAGATTAAATGTCATCGTTGAAAAAACATGTAGACTTTTGACTACCATTGATTGTCATTATTCTTATATTATTTTAACTGCCATTGATTATCATTATTGTTATATTATTATTTATTGGAACCTGATTGTTTTGTTGAAGATTTTTTTTTTTTCCGGACATTGCCTGCATCCTCGGTTAAACAGATCATTCAATCACAATATGGTTCAGTTTTTGGTGATTTCTGAAAAAAAAAATGACTGTCATAAAAAATGCCATCATAAAACACACACACACACACACACGCGCACACACACAGACACAGACACAGACACAGACACAGACGCACACACACACCCACCTCAGATTCTGCTGCAATTGATTCCCTAATGATAAGCACGAAAGAAAATGGATGGCTGGACTGCATCCCAACTTTTTCCTAAATTCCCAAGTTTGAGGGAGATGTCAACAAATGTTCCACTGGTGAATCTTCCAAGTGTTTTTGATGATGTCAGCCTACCTTCCCGTTTGCACGCAACACACGGGGGCCTCCTTGTCTTGTGGTTGAGGGTCCCACGGGGACTCCCTGTTGTCACACTGGTTCAGCGTCATCTTTGTTTTAGACTGCCGGGACGTGCGCGTACCTTGACGCCATGCTAAGTTTGGACAGTCGAGATGACGGAATGTCAAACTTGTCCTGCTTGGATTTCCGCTGTATACTTACCGGTACTTTCCTTTTCCTCCTCTTTACTTTCCACATGCTTTTTCTTGAAGATTAAATAACTGCACTCACTTCCTCTTCAGTCCATCACCTGATTTAACATATTTAAAAAAAAAAAAAAAAAGAGAAAGAAATCACACCAATGTGAATTATTTCTGGCTGGCTAAACTTATTCCTCAAGGCACTTTGATAATGGAGAGCAGTTTAAATTATGAATGGAGTGGATCGTAGTGTTCTGCGAGCCTGCAGGATGAATTAAGCAAGAGCGCCTCTAATATCGCCTTTCCTCCCTTCGTCCTTTAGATGCGGGATTCCACATTCTTCCAAGATTTGCATTGTGGGGATTCCTTGCACATTGTGTTTATGTAACATAATAGCATTGACAACACATTTCATAGCATTTTTTTTTTAAGATGACTGAGCTAGATTTTGACTTCTCTCAGATGGAAAAAAATGAATGTCAACATATTTAGCTATTAGCCTACAAAAATCAAAAATATTGTTCCAGTTAAAACCACGTGCGGTGATTCCTTGATATCCGAGAGGCCCCTTTTAAGTTTTTCAACATATGGGCTGTCGTTTCATATGTTTTTAGAATTTATTTTTACTTTTCTTGACCTGAGAGCAAAATCCAGATAAACAAGCGCTGTCTGGTGGCAGTGAATTCAACTGACTTGACATCAAGCCGTTTGTTTGGCAGCTTGTGAAAAAAAAAAAGTTTTAATAAAAGTTGTTTATTGACACTCCCAGTTGAAGTATGCCATCAAACTAAACATAAAACATTTGCATGTGTATTTAAAGAAACCACTTAGTTGTGCTTTCACTATCTTAACGCAAATACAATGGGAAAGCCATAGTCTGGCTACCAAAAAGCATCTTTGTCACAGTTTTATATTCCCTTTATGCAATAGATATCTGAACACAATTGAACACGTACAGACAGATAATATAGCAATACTCACAGGTATATATTCTTTATCCTCTGTGAAGAATGTGGCATATTACACTGGGAACATGATGTCCTAAAAAAATAATCAGGAACAATGAAAAAAAGCTAAAGTATGGAAATAGATGCTAGATAAATACAGTATAGAATTTATTAAACCGCATGTTCGTGCTTGAATTTCATTTGATTTTCAGGGTTTCTTTTGTTGGCTTTTTTTTTGCATTTTAATTATTCCACTTATTTATTTATTGTTAATCACATGCCGCATTTTTTTTTTGCCACCGTAAAAAATATATATATATATCAGCGTGAAAAATTTAAATTTTAATCTCTCACTGGCCGCAACGTAAAACACACTGGCGCAGAGGAATAACATCGAGGCCGAATATTAGAAACACCCTTCAGTGTGCTGCAAGTTTGGACGATGGAGCCAATCAAATGCTCTGTTTTATTTCTAGATGCTGTCGATCAGTTAGGCTCTCACTATAGAAAAGCACAGAAGTCGCAGACAGATGGACATCATCTCCATTTAGAAGACATCCATCATCCAATCCTCAAGTTCCGTGTGAGTGTGTGTGTTGATAGTGAGTTGTCATGATGGTGATAGAAGATGACTAATAGAGTAGCGAGGTAGCCGTCTTCCTCATTCTCATTTGGTGCTACTGGCTATGAATGAATTATTGATTTTGGGATGCCCCCCCCCCCCCCCACACACACACACACACACACACCTTAACCATACACGCCGCTCTCCCCTCTTGCATTCCCTTACCCTTCGCCGCCCCTAAATCGTCAGCCATTTTGTGTGCAGTAATTTGAATAAGCTTATCGTAAAGTCATCCGACGGCCTTTGAACACGACGTAAATAGGGTGCAATGAATCAATAAATCTTTATTATTGTGCGTAAAGATAATTTTTGGTCATTTTGCCCACCCCATTGACCAACAGCAACTTTCTTCCCGATTCGGTCAACATGTCCCTCCCTCTGCGATATTTGCTGGAAGTCGCAGGCCTCGCTCCCCCCCAAAAAAAGCAAAACAAAAACATTTCAATGCAAGCTTGTTGCATGACAACGTGCCGTGTAAATAATTTAAGTGCCCCTCCGTCGCCACATGACACGCGCGCGCCAAGCCTTCAGCTCTACTTACCAGCACGGTCGCTTCTTGTATCAAGCAGCCCATCCATTATTCACATGACGCAGACCCTGTTTAACCTCCTATTGATGCGTCCCCCACCACTTATAAATCTATAAATGTGGTTCTGAACACACCCGATGCGCATTTGATTAGGGATAGTTGCAAAAGGAATGAATTCATCATCTTTGTCCGTGCTCACACGACTGCAAATTCTTCTTCTCCCCTATTAATATCTGTCGTCATGACGCTTCATTCATCGTTTGAAAGTGCACGAATCAAATGTTTCATCCTTGTGCATAAATTAAAAAAAAAAACGGAAAATTATACCTTTAAGTTAGACGAGGATGCATATTCAATCCCTATAGGGAGAGTCATGAAACAATTTGTGTACCTTCCCTAAAACGGCAATCACACAGCTGTTCGGGTTTTTTTTTAATTACCACCAATAGTCCCCTGTTTGAAATAAGTCACACAATTACCGACTTTTAGAAAATAACCAGTCATTTATTCCATTTAAAAAGTGAAAGTTGAAGGTGCAGCAATTCTTTCAATAACGTGCTGTCTTGTGTGTGTGTGTGTGTGTGTGTGTGTGTGTGTGTGTGTGTGTGCGCGCGCGCGCGCATATGCTCGCCAGCCACAATATTAGGCACACATACCAAATCCACCAACGATATTATAATCAACCTACGCCGCCCTCCAGCCCCACAAAGGAAAGAAAAATCAATTGAAGTATAATATGAATAAAATGGAGCATTGTTTTTGCATTGCGCAGGTGCAACCTAATAGATTGACTGACGAGCGTTCTGTATCTCTGCTGGCTTTTAGAAATGCAGAAACGCTTATTGCAATGCTCCAAAAACGATCCTAAAATATAGAATGTTCATAATTCAACACAGATAATTCCACACAGAAATCATTCCTTCGGGTTGTGGAGGTGGCGAGATCACTTTCAGGAACATTTTTGCACATTGGATGCTTTGAAATGATGTCAACAAGCACACACTCAGTATTCGACATTGAAACAATCCATTTTGTAACATTTCTAAAGTGACATAAATATCCCTGATTGTGACTTAAAGTGTCCGGTGTATTTATCTTATACAGCACAGTCGTGTGTTCACCAAGTTCGCTTTTAATGCTTCAAAAAACAGGGGGTCCCAACTGGGGTCCGCGAGCCTTGGTTTGGTGGGGGGAGGGGGGGTCTGGATAATAATTTGCAATAAATTGTTATGAAGCCGTGTCATTTCTTGAAGGGCATGCCTGTGCTCGTGAGGATTGGGCGGTGAGTCATGATAAGTCATTTAAAAGCTCTGTAATGATTTTTAAGATTGAAATACGCCCAGTTCTTCAGGTGATAGGAACTGGCCAAACCACAAGTGTCCATCTTAAGGCCACTTTACTTTTTGTGGCCTGCTTAATGCAAAGAAAGTGTGCCTACTCAACGTTTCTTGCAAAATATGTTGCATCCAGCTTGCAATTTTCCTGTTGTTTTTTTTACAGCTATTACAAGCGTTTCCATCACCAAATCTCTTAAACTGAATAAAGTCAGATGCTTAAGTATATGGTTGTCAGTCACTATTTTCAGAAAAGGCGAAAATGCTGATGTTTGTTTCCCAAAGTAAAAGCAGATGTTTTCACGTGTCTTATTTTGATTCACCACAAAGATAATCCGTTGATTTTTAGGTAGGCCTCTGGAAATCAGAGAAAGAACATTTTAAATTCAACAAGGTCTCAAAACGATTAATCGATTATCAATCGATTAATTTGAGAATTGACTCGTTGTTGAGTAATATATTGATTGTTGCACCTATAGTTAAAAAGTCTAAAAAATATATCATTTCAATAGCGCACGTGTAAATGACATAAAATTATGAGGTGTTGGATTTCCCTTGGACCCTAAAACTTTAAGGACCCCCCCGCAGAAAAAGTGCAATAAAATGAAGAAAAATGGAGGAGATAATCCCAAATATCAGAAGTGAAGAGCCGCCGTGTTGAATTAATCCAATGGGGTTTTCATTATGAACCAATGGAAAAAAGCAGCTGACGACACCTTTGAAGTCAGTGCACGGCAGAGTACTTCATGCGCTTCTGCTTCTGCCTCTGGTTGCAGAACCATACGCGCACCACGTTCTTTTTCAGGTCCAACTTCTCGGCGATGGCGGCGATCTTCTCCGACGACGGCCTTGGCTGGATGGCGAAGTAGGCCTCAAGGGAGCGCTTCTCCGGGGCGGCGATGGACGTTCGCCTCCGCCGCCTTGCGTCCTCCGCCCCGCCGCCGCCCCCTCCCGCCAGCAGCTCCGGCGCAGCGGCGCTCCTGTCCCGGTGCGCCGCCTCCGCCTCCTCCAGCCAGGCGTGCAGCACGGGTTTGAGAGCGATCATGTTGTTGTGCGACAACGTGAGCGACTCGAACCTGCAGATGGTGCTCTGACTCAGGGAGCCAACGCCGGGGATCTTGAGGTCAGCCAGGGCCGAGCCCACGTCCGCTTGAGTCACGCCGAGTTTGATGCGCCTCTGCTTGAAACGCTCGGCGAAGGCTTCCAGCTCGCGCGGGTCCGACTCCACGTCGCTGTGCGCCGGGACGGCCGGGTGCGCGTGGCCCATGGCCGCCATGGCCTGGTGGAGCTGCCCCATGGTCTGGAGGTGGTGGTGGTGGTGGTGATGGTGGTGATGAGGGTGCTGGTGGTGGTGCGTCACACCCTGCTCGGGTGCGCCCATCCCAGTCACCCCCAGGCTACTGGAAAGGTGCTCCAGTAGGTCCCCGGCCTCCAGGCTCGGTCCCAGCTGGTGGCTCTGGAAGTTGTGGTGATGGTGCGAGGCGATGATGGACGAGACAGTGGAGGAAGAGGAGGAGGAGGAGGCGGCGGTGCAGGAGGGCACGCCGCTCATGGTATGGAAGCTGGCGTCTCTCCTTGCCTGGGAGACGAGGATGCTGTCAGCCGCCGCCTGCAGAGCCTCCGCCCGAGCCAGCAGGCTCTCCTCCATGCCGCCCCCCAATATATTGGCCTGGAGCTGCGAGCAGGAGCGCGCATGGTGGGGGAGTCAGTGGGGAATTGTGTCAGAGAGGAGGGTCATAAAAATTAATCTGGAAGCGAGGAGGAGGGAGGAGTGTGTATCGGATGGAACAAAGTCATGTCAAATCACATTTACACATTTCTCCCTTTGTGATTACTCCCTCCCATCCCGTCCTCCTGCTTTCATTGCCCCCCCCCCCCCATACCCCTTCCCCAGGTGTCGACCTACCTGAGACCCCTCTGCGCGCACACTGCGCATGCCCTCGTGAAGGCCGAAGTGCTGCTTCCCGTCCACGGTCATCATCAACATCTTTTTGTCTTTTTTCTGCCCTCGTCCTCCTTGCGTTCTCTCCGCAGGTTGTCCCGCTCTGGACTGAGCGCGTCTGTATTGCCCACAGCGACACCTCCCTCTCCCCCCCCCCCCTTCCCCGTTTCCGTCGTCTTCTTTCACCTCCCTCCTTTTGCACTTTTCTCAGCTACAGTTACAACAGGTGAGCCTCTGCGCATGCGCGATATAATGCTCGACATCGCTCTGTAGCCGCGCACTGGATGATGGTTAAGAAAGTAGCGTTGGCAAAAACAGTATGGAGGGTGTCAAAAGTCTACACACCCCTCATCAAGTGGCAGGATTTTATGATGTAAAAAAAAAAAAAAAAGCGACCAAGATTTAAAAAAAAAATCCGTCATTAACACAAATGGTAAAAAAAATAAGGATAATGGGGTTGCGCACTCTTTCATAACAATCACATTCAAACTCTTGGTTTGTCATAGTTAGCAGACATCATTTAAAGTGCCTCTGATCAACCTCGATAAACGCAGTGCAGTAAATATTTTAGTACAATTCAGTTATATTTAACTTTAAAGTACAAGCCACTGTAAGTATGCTTCAGGAGGTACTTGGTTGGAAAATGTTGAGAATCGCTCAACGGGATTATACAAGTCACAAACGAGCGGCAAAGGAATGATGTCTCCGTGCTTCCATCTGATCCTGCTGCTCACGTCCGCTTCTTTCAACTTGTCAATAATGCAATAAGCAGCATGGCGGGCAGGCCGGCATCCATTACCACGCTAGGGTTAATATGCATTACACTGGTGTCGACAAGAGGCGGGCACCCACATTTAATAGGGTTCCGGATAGTATAACCGCCCTGGTTTTGTAATTGTGAAAAGTGGTGAATAAAATGGCTGGATAGATGACGTGTGCATCTAATGAATGCAAGACTACAATCTAGTAGTGCTTATCCTCGAGTACTCTACCGAGACTGCATGTCACCACACACATAAGTTGTCAACTGGCATTTTTCTTTGAATAAAGCATGAAATCCCTTTTCTCACCCTCACTATCTAACCCCAATATAGGCACCGGGGGTCATTTATTATTGACTGGTTATTGTTTGGGAGCTGTCATTGTGCGTGGGCCGCTGATGTTGAAGATGGCGTGTTGTGTCGGTGAGATGACGCTGTCTGCTTTTATTTTTTTTAGGTTGACGTCTTTTACAGTCTGAGCCTCGCTTCTGATAATCTGATTTTATCCATTTCTGTTTTCTTATTCTGCGACATTTTTCAGGTCTGGGGCACACAAACTTTTACCCATGGACTCATGTTAAAAGTTTGACATAGGCTGTGGCTCCTTTTCGATATGATAGATAGGACCAAGGTGGGGCACAGCGTTCCAGCTTCCCAACAAGGGTAGTGATAGACGACGGTGCAGTCTGACTCCTGTATTAATGTGGGTGACCTCACCATATATGCCCCTCACTTTGAGGAAAAAAAACAAAACAAAAAAAAAATCTGAGGTGCAAAATGACAAGACAACACAGCAGTTTTAAGATGAGATTTCCTGGAATGCTTTTGCTCCCCTTCCCCCCTCATACTTGCCAATATTTATTTTTTTTTCATCTTTTAAGTTTGTTTTTTTTTTGTTTTGTTCTTTTTTTTTGCCCAAGATCAAATTGTATTTTTTTTCTTTTCTCCTTTAATTTTCTTGTTTTTTTTTCCCGCAAGCAGCCCATTCCTTTGTCTTTATTGGCAAAAGCAAACATGCTCGTGAATTAGAAATTCATCTTTTTACAAACAAAATGACATGAAGAAAACACATCATTATCATAATCCACATCCTGCAAATATAAACAGTAACAAATCCAAAACTATTATCCGATAAACATACATTTTTTTTTTACACTACGGTGTATGAGCGTACACACACACACAAGTACAAAAAAAAAGTGGAATAGAGAGCAAATTCTCTGAATATACAAGAACCAAGTTACTTTGTCCTCATTAAAATCAATAAGGAACCTATTCGGGATGTGTGAGAAAGAGAAAAGTAATCAAGGTGTGAGGATGACTCCAAAGGACACAGTGAGTGTATTTACATGCAGGAAGTTCAATAAATATTCTTTTGGTTTTAGTATTCCATGACTGAAAAATAGAAATGCAATCAATACCCCACATGAGAGTGCATGTAATCGATGTGAATTACAATTGAATTTTGAGACAGGACAGGAGGAAACTTGAAATAATCCTCCAGGCGGACAGATGTAATGAAATGGGACTACATTGGTGTTTTTCCTGATTTAAAATATCAGAAAAATGACACCCCCCCAACCAAAAAAAAAAAAAAGGGGGGAAAAATTCTCAACATTTGACTTTTTTTAAGCAAATGTACAAAATTTACACAACACCCGGCCCCCCCAAAGAAAATGAATCACAAATATTGTAAAATAAAAAAGATTCCGCCGAGTGGCCGACGGGTGTAAGGCAAAGAAAGAAATTCTCTCTCACTCACTCTCTCGCTCTCTGTTAAAATCAAGGGTTTCATTTTTTACATTCAAAAATCTGTCTATGGATATTTATGAATGATTAAGTTTTCTGTTTGAGAAGCAGAGGTTGGAAATAAAATAATTCTTTACAGTAAATGATTACACGGCGATCCTCTTAGTTTTCAGGGACGTACTAAATTTATAAAATGGAGATCTATTTTATGAGCATTTGTGGCTTACATTTTTTTTTTTTTAAATTTCCAAATCAAATTTTTGGTGCGCTGTCGGGGCAATGTGTGGAAGGGGTTGTGGGGCTGTGACAGACTTGAGCCATCAAAATGAAGAAGCAGGGAAGAGTCGGGAGGAATAAATTAAACATGTGGTCTTTGAACTGAGACCAACTTGTCCCCCACCCTCCAAAAAAACCCCCAAAACAAACAAAAACAAAATCTTAAATACAGCTGTGTATAAAAATAGCTTTTCACAGTAGACGCAAATGTTGTGCATTACTGACAGTTAAAGTAAGCACACTTAAACTCTCCCTAAAAACCGAACCTTCGGCTTTCTCAGCAAAAGTGAGATTGTTTTTGTTGAATGGAGGGAACCCTCCAAAAAAAGCAAACGTTATACTTCCATTAGTCTTAAAATGACTTGAAAATACTGGGGGGGGGGGGGGGGCAGAAGAGAAGAGGAGTTCTTAAGGGTTAACCGCGCTGGCGATTTCTGTCGCTGTCATTGGGAGGCTTTCATCGTCTCCAAGATCTGCTTTCGTACTTGTCGTCTTCGTCGTCGTCCTCTTCCTCTTCTTCCTCCTCGCCAGGCCGATAAGAGCGACCGTCCTTCTGCTAATAAAAGCATACCAAAGCATATTAGTACTTTCTTTGAAATGTGTATGTTTTTTTCCCCATATTAGTAACACAGGGAATCTTTATTATCACCAATCAAGATTATGTTCTTTCCGATGGAACAACTTGAAAGTCAACCGGCATCCCAGCACGAATTGTGTTCCAACTTCATCTAGGTGCGAAGTGACATTCCTTGAAGGATGAGCCCTCGGAATGTCATGTGACATAATGGAGTGCACCCTAAGGTCACAAGGCCGAACTCGACTGTGGCCTCAAAAGCTCTGTGCAGCAGCGTCCGCAGAGGGTTCCTCCTGACAGCCGGGTCGCTTCCCACAAGTGGTCAAGGATGCTTTTTAGCTGCGAGGGGCTCAGACTCAATTTCCACTGAGAGCATCGTTGAGTTTAAAAATTAAGGAGCGCTGCAGAGAGCCAAACCTGTCTAGTACAACTGAAACGTCCCAAAGTTCCACGTCTGCAAATGTCGCGTCAAACTTGTTGAACAGAACAGCGAGTTCGGATGACTAAATCCTGATTAAAAGAAAGTTTGTGCCAGTTGGTACCGCGTTGTCGTCGTCTTTGGACTCCTCCTCCTCAGGCTCTGTGGTGATGGAGGGCGTCTTGGGCTTGTACCAGGAAATCTGCAACACGCGACCTTTGAACTTGGCTCCCTGGTTGGCTGCCTAGACAACGCGAGTGGAAAAAAAAAAAAAAGCTTTAGTTCAGGGGTTCGAAAAAGTACAGCTAGAGAGACGAACTCCACTTACATTCTCGGCTTCACTCCGAGTCTTAAAGGTCATGATGACACTGGTGGCGTCCTGGTCACGCAGATCCTCCAGGTCACCGAATTTCTGATAATGCACAAAAAAACAACAACCCCAAACAGCTTTCCACATGCAACCATCAGCATTAAAAGACAACCCTTGCATTGCGTTCTCACCACAAAGTGTGATGTGAGCTCCTCCTTCTCCTCCTGGGTGACCCCCACAATTGTCAGAGCCCTGGGCCGGTGGTCCACCACCATGCGGTTTACGGAACCGCTGCGGCCCCTTGCGCGTATAGCGCCTGCTTCCAGCAGCATCTTCCCCCGGCCGCGGCCTCGGCACGTCGGGGATCGCAGGATGCCCAGTTGTGTTGCCTGGAAGGAGGGCGCGACAAAAGAAAAGACTTATGAGGATTCACATTCCACAAAGGTGCGATGACGCTGTGGTCATGTCAAAGTCAAAAGGGAAGCAGAACCGTGTGATTTTTGTTGAATGCAGATTAGTGTTAACATTTCTGATTAACGGAATATAAATCTTCTTTTTTGAAGGACTCCCGGCTTCTTCTAAAATGGGTGCTTCAAAACAAAATGGCAGACAACATGCGTTTTTCTTTTCCGACATGGCTTTTAGAGACCCAAATTCATGTTATGAAGTTGAAACAGCCTTCCAAGGACGGATTAAACTTTTTTTTTTTCAGTTCTCACAAGCCAATTGTGAAAAGTCCAGCATGTTCGGCCTTATGGTTATTACAGTTGTACCTCTACTTACGAAATTATTTGGTTCTGGAAGAAATTTCTTAACTAGAACACAATTTCCATTTAAATGCCCAAATCCGTTCCAGGAATCTCCGAGCTGCGAGGAGCAGCCCATACTGTATTCTTAACTTTCGTATCTTGAAATTTCTTTCGTAACAAGAGGCAATATTTTTCCTGTTGAGGCTTTTCGTAACTTGAAAATTTCGTATGAAGATATGTTCTTAGGTGGAGGTACCACTGTACTTTTGTTAAATTACAGGTTACATGCTACAAAGTTGATGTGTTACCAATGCTCATTAGAAATGTGTTCAATTGTATTGTCTTTTTTCTTTAAGCTTCGCCCTTGTGAAACCCCGGACTTAAATAGCACTTTTGACTTGGGTTCTCTCAATTTTCTCCTCACTTTTCAATTAGACGTCCCAGCTCACATCTCTTAAGTTTACTTACTCACCTCTCAAAAACCTTTCCTTCCATTTGGTCCTCCACTCATTCCCCACTCTTACTGCTCGCGCCCGTGATTTTTGTACCCGGCGGCTTAAACTTTAATGAGACGGCCTCCATCGGTGCGAGAGAGCGTTGAGTGTCAGATTGGGCTTCGTTAGCATTTAGCTCTTCCTCTGGGGTTGCTAAAGTGGCTGCGCTTTTAATGTGTACAGGGAGGATAGGCTTGGGCTTGGTTGGTGGTGGTGGTGGTGGGGGGGTGTTTATGCATTTTTTAACCACTAGCTAATTTAGAACCCTCAGGGAAGGAAGGTTGGGGTGGGGGTGGGGGGGGGAGAATACATGTTTGGCAGGGTGTTACTCTCAAAAGCTGTGTACCTATTCTGCGAATGTTGTGACACAGTAAGCCTTGTCTTGTGTTGTGTTTCAGTGGGAGGGCACATGCGGGGCCAGTGGGAGGTTGAGATGACCTATGGCCTTCTCAAACGACACTATTTCTTTTGTCATTCACCACGCTTGTGCTGTCAAGCTCCCAGATAAATTCTGTGTCTTGTGTGAGACGTCACACTACAAGTGCGTCAGCGACCCCACCCCGCCCGATCGTCGCAGGCTTCCGTCAAGATTCAGTGTATCATCGCAGTTGTTAGATCATGTCGATGAAAGAATCAGGTGCATGTGCATGCGTTTTTTTTCTCCGCTCAAAAAAAAAAAAAGACTTCAAATAAGCTACGAGACATGACGTTTATCTGCGGCATGTCTGTCGGCTTTAAAGTCCTTTTCCCAGGCAGGGACTCTTATTGCAAAACCTCCCACCATAGATCTTGTACTCATCCTTGATTATGGACTGTTAAAAAAATAATATATATTGGCACCGCAGATCCCTTCCTTCAAAGATCCTGAACCTGATCAAAGTGCTAACCCCAAAACGGCACTCTTGTTAAGGTAGATTGAATTACAACTGGAACTACGTTTTAGGCTGCTGGGTCATAAAATGTTCAGTCTCAGAACGTTTGTACTCACGGTGCAAAATTGCTGCCTTTGAAATTTGAAAAATGAAACATTTGAAAAAAACCCAAATTTTTTACCTCTTTCTGGAGCTGGCCCAGTTTTCTCTTGAGGTCTGTCGTGTCTTCTCCAGAGCTCATTTTCTTGTGGAAGTCCAACTCAGCATCCAGCAGCTCCTTCTGGGCCTGCAAAGTGAGAAATGAACCAAAATACACAGTGATGAAAAAGTGGCTTGAACTTGAAGCTCGGCTTTGTTAGCATATATCTGGTTCCTACGTCCAGGACTTTTTGGAGCGCTTAAACATCACAGGATTCCGACTGAGAACATTTTAACACTTCGCGGGGTCCCCCAAACTCACGTCGGTCTTGGTCTTGGGCTGGTTGTGATTGGCTTTAGAGACCTGGGTGGAAGGATTCATTTCATTCTGGAGCTGGGCAATCTTTTCAGTCAGTTCCTTCAGTGTTTTCATAATGTTGGCTCGTTCCTCTGGTTTCATCCCCCGGTTCTTCTCCAGACGGCTAATCAGCGCCTGAAAAGAAACGGAAGTGACATGTGGTGAGAGACTGACATGGTCCATCAATGTCATTTATTAATTAGTCGAGTTATTGTGGAACTTTGGCAAAGTAAACAGACAAAGCATCTTTCTGTGTGGCCTTGCGCATGTCGTTTTCACCTTCTGACATTCAATCTGCGTCTTTAACATTTCCTGCTTCTTCTTCCGCAAGTCATGTTGTAGTTTCAACGCCTCCTGAATGGAAGCAAACAGCACAATACAAGGCGTTAAACTGGGGGGGGTACAGCAGATTCCAGCATTTTACAGATGCGGATACAAACACCGTCACGTCACCCTCATGATGCGTATTAAAAAATTGAACGTGCCTGTTTCTTCTTCAGGGCTTCCTGTGCTTCCAGTGCTTTCGCCGTTTTCCCAAGGCACTTGGAGGACAACTTGAGCGGGGTGGAAGCGTAGGGACCCTTCTGGGTGTTTGTCAGCACCGGCGCCACCTAAGTGGCGTGCACAGCGAAAGGGGAAAGCAACACATTTAGGTCATCACATGGAGCCGGGAGACGTGACACAAACAAGACTTTTACTTTTCGGCGCTGCTTGCATAAAACTTTCCTGAATACACACAAATGATTATTATTCACTAACATGTTTTCTACTCGCCCATAACCCTCAAGAACATGTCGTGCTGAACCTTATCTCTAAGTACTTCAACTTCACTAAGCATACGGAGGATGGGTGGAGAACATTTTTGCTATCCGGAGCTTTTTCAGTCCTCCAAGGGCCATACAGTACTGTGAAAGGGATTTTTAAGAAGTTCTGTGTAAAAACGTGGTCATTTTTAGCTGCATTCTATGGGAATGAAACACAAGCAGGCGTCAAAGCACACATGCACAGAGATGAAGACGCACATGGGCAGCTTCTGCGTTGGGGTTCAGGTTGTCAGGTGTGCTCGTGGTGCCGACTGCTACTGGCGAACGATGCTTGTTCAGCACGTAAGCAGCAGGATTGTGCTGCTTGATCCCCTGCAAAACAAACAACAAGTCATGTGTTTGTCAAGAGGACCATGAAAAAAAAAATAATAGTCACATATTAAATCACAATAAGATGTAATGTGGTAATTTTTAAAACTCATTCAGACCCTACTTTGTATGTAATTCCATCACTTGGCCTTACCTGCGGGCCGACTTGACTGCCTGTGCCCTGTTCCAGCTGGTGACTCCCCAGCATGCTGGACTTGCGATGCCAGCGCATGTTGATGAAGCGGTTGTTGAGAACCGCCTCGGCGCAGTACATGGCCCGACAGGCTTCTTCGTTGGATGTGAACTGGATCAACGCCACCTCTGGGTCGCCACCAAACACGACCTAGATGGATTGAATTTTTGGAGGGGTTTTTTTTTTTTGGCCTTGGGGGAGGTCTGCTCTCCATTTCGGGTGTTTCCATGATTTTATTTTAAATGCATTTCCAAAATCTCATGACTGTTATTCCTCCCGCTTACGAGGTTACCTGAATGTTCACGATGGTCCCGAACTTGCTGAAGTGCTCATTGAGCTTGGTGATGGTGTTGAGCTCGGGTGGGATATTGCGCACCTCCAGTTTGGTGTTCACGTGGAAGTTCCTCTTTGGGAAAATGCCTTTGTTGTTGAAGTTTGGCCTGAAAACAAGAGAGCGGTACAAGATGATGCAACAGATTACCGAGTTCTTCATTGTGTGCATTGTGGAAAGGGAGATATTTATCTTTAGGGTAGAAGTGAGTTTTTTCCCCAAATAGTTTTTCAATACAGCAATCAATGTGAGATTGATGTTTGGACTTTTAGCTTTGATTTATTTCACAAACATATGGCAGTTACCATGAAGTATTTATAGCAATGGTTATGTGTAGTATGGTTATGTGTAGTATCTCTATTTCTAGTGGCTCAAAAGGGTTTGGCCAAAGAGACAATTTTCAATATAATCTTATGACCAATTCTTGAAACAAATTCTTTAAGCAAGTAGACAAAAAAAAATGATGAATTCAATATGGTAGAGGATGCTTTTCAGTGATTGAGGAAAAAAGTGAAGGCAGCAGGACGTGCAAACAAGCAGCAAGTGAAGACCTGACAATGCCGGGGGGGTTGTGAATTTATGATTGCCATTCAAGTTTTAAAAATGAAGGCTGGATTTACAATTAAGTCACTTGGTGAATACTGTGTAAAAGTTGTACTGTACAAAGGCAAAAATCATTACAACTCTACTCCTTGTCAACTTTGGCACAAATGGATTTCGCAACATTACAACTAAGCTGAAATTTAAAGAAGGATAAAAGATGGGACTTTTACGCGAAACCCTTCAACTCTTACTTTTGCATCCATGGTTTTTTAGCCGTGGGTCCATCAGCTAGCATACAGCCCATGGGTCTCTTCCTGTTGTGCTGCTCCGAGTTGAAACAGGTCATGTTACTTCCTGGTGCGCTGGCAGGAGTGGCGGGCTCCGTTTGGATCACTATATTGGCAGCTGAGGTAGCAAAAATAAATTTTATCTCAATTTTCTCAATCTGGCACGTCCTATCGTGAAGGATGAATGACGGTGAGCACTGAGAATGTGACTACTCGGTACCTCTCGAGCCTTGTCCCTCATTAGATGTGAGTCCGATGAGGTTGGGGCGCTGCGTCTGTATTCGGGGAATGAATTGGCGATACTGGTTGCGACCGGCTCCAGTCAGCCCTGGCGATTCCGGGTTGTAGCCCTCCGGATCGTAGTTATCTGAGAGCACAAAAAGGTGCTTTGAAATACTTAAGAGAGAATCAAGTAAACACAGTTATCCAGCCATCCAGAACTCCATACAAGGAGGTCGTAGCAGAGATTCAAACCGAGAACGACGATGCAAACGTGATCATACATTCATGTGATGATTATCCTAGAAATGAAACTCGACAAAATGAATATGACACTGACAACCAAATATGTCATCACCGTCCAATGAAAAGATTGCAAAATTTTATGTTATAAAAAAAGAGAAATTTAAATATGACATACGAAAAAAAAAAACTCTTGCAGATGCGCGCTTTTCATTGGACAGTAACAACGTGCATGCAGGATGAAAAATATAAGACAAACAGTACATTCAACAAGATGAAAATGAGTTTTACATCAGCTTTGTTTTTTTTTTGGCAGTCAAATTGTATTTGGTTTTGAAGATTAAAAATGAACTTAATGTCATGTTGCAAGCAAGGCATTGCATTAAAGCTGTTTTACTTATTTATGAAAAAGAGGCAGGAGGGACAACATAATTTACTGAACCCAAAAACAATGTACAAATATAATGTTGCACTGCCACTTTCAGGTCAACAGGCGACACTGCAGCCTAATGACAACAACAACAACAACAACAACAACAACAAAAACAAAAATCCTAATCCAAAAATACAAGTGAACATCAACGGCTAGTTAAATGGAGTGGACAAAATGAGCGATGAATGGTGAATTCCCATGACAAGCCTCCAATCTGCTTACATTCAGACTGGACATATCGGGGACGGAGCGACACCGACGAAGAGGAGGGAGGAGGCGGAGGAGGCAGGGGAAGAGGAGGCGGCAGCCTCACGCTGGGTGGCCCGACAGGAGGCGACGACGTGATCGCCGACTGGTGATTGGGGGTTTCCATTCCACTGGTTGCGATCAGTGGAGGGGGTCCTGATGGAGACACAAGCCCAAGCTGATGTCTCGTAACAGCGAGTGCTTCACTCATCAGGGGTCAGCCTTTAATTCATCTACCAATTGCTCACTTTTCATTGACATTCAACGCGGCAAGACAGGAAAAAGCTCCTTGTTCTGCTATTGCTGTGCACAATGTGCGCATTTACTGAGTGTTATATTCTATTCATTACAGAACACCTTTGTCGAAGTGACTACAACACAAAGTGCTACGAAGCCAAATATCCCGTGCGCGTATATACACATTTTTGTCATTGACATTTAAGTTGTAATTGCACCATATACCATGCGCATTATAATTGGAGGGTTTGCTTTATAGAAATACCATATTTCCATTCGTGGCAAATTTAAACAAATGCAAATGTACAATTGTATGACAAATATTTAAAAAAAATAATCAATAAAAACAACCACATGAAGAGAGAGCCGTTGACTTGTCTCAAATGGGTGACGTACCTGGGGACGAATGGGGCAGCGCACTTGCTATTCGGATGACGACAATTAGAAGAAATATGGTAAGAAGCATCTACATCACGGGTAACCAACATGGCGGGCTCCGAAACCAAGTAGCCCCCCAAGACCACTTGGGTAGCCTATAGGCCTTTTCGAAAACTAGCTCACCAGTGATGTGACATCGTGATGTCCAAGGAATGTTATAGAAGTGATCTTTTTTTTTTCAAGTGTCGCAAAATGATATTTATCAGTTTGCTAATCATTGTAATAAATCATTTCTACGATCAGTTCTTGCCAAAAATAAATAGCATTATGTATTAACAATGGTAATTAGGGCTACAGCTACTGAATACTTTTGTCGCTGAAGTTGGTAGCCCTTCGCATTGATCAGTACACAGGAAGTAGCTCTTAGCTTAAAAAATAAAATAAAAATAAGGGCGGTGCACCATCCTCAAGCTAGATGAGACAGATCGATACTCACCAGTCAACGAGAAGACGCCAGGCGGAGGCTGGCCGTAGGGCGGCATCGGCGGCGGTGGTATCCTGAGTGAAGGGGGCGGCTCGTTGATGGGTGGCGGCATGGGCAGGCCGCCGGGGGGTATCACGGGCGGCGGTGGGAAAGGGATGATGTTCGGAAGATTGACGTCATCCACGATGAGAGGGTCGTTGCCATGGTCAAACGGGCACAGGTCGCCGCGGACGCAAAATCCTTTTTCTGCATGGGGGAGAGAAGATAATGTCAGAAAATTCCTAGTTGACATCAATCTACAATAATCTGCAAATAAAGTGAACTTTTGCATATTGATGCTGTCAAGGAACTATGTTGAAGTGAGTTGAAGAGTTCCATTTAGACAAAAAAAAAAACGCTTTGCTGCCATCTTGTGGTAAGGAACTAGGTTGAAGTTAGTTGAGGAGTTTCAATTGCAGAGAAATCGTGCTTTGACAAGATCTTGTGGCACCCAGACAAAACTAAACAGTTTTTTTGTGGTGGCGTCAATGACTTTGTTATTCATGGCAAAGCTCAGTCCATACCCAGACCACGCCGCAAAAAGCAGAAGTTCATCGTGCTTCTGTACTAATTTCTAAACAAGATTTGCCTTCGTGGTGGTTGGGTTGAGAAACATCAAAGACTTATGGTTCTGGGAGGCTAAGCCAGAGAGTATTCATTGTACAATTTCACTGAGGAACCGATCCCTTGTGGTTGAACACTTGGACAGTAATGACAGGAGAGGCCTTCAGGGGCACTGGATATTTTAACACTGCTTACCTCTGGAGAGGTGTGTTTGAGCCTTCCCCCACTGGGGACGATAGCCTGAGTGATCAACATTAGCGGTCATTAGCCATGAAAACAGGACCATGAATAATCCCTTTGGGCAAACTACAATTGTGTTATTTAAACAAATGCATTTATCGAATGACAAAGAGTAGTACTGTACAAATATCTTAATCATTTGTTTTATTACAATATAATATTAGAACAAATATCTGCTCTGCAATCAGTCGTGTTACTATTTTATGAAATATAATAAGATGATTTTTTTTGGGCGATATTAGATGTCACAACACACACCACTTGTAAAGCAGACATGGCATCCGTAGAGCAAAAAAAGCAAATGAGGACATTTCCAAGTGAATGCGACCTTTTCACTATTTTATTTCACCTATCGTACTCTATTTTGTGTGTTGACTATGCAGCAGACTCACAGTCGCTCTCTCACTCACACACACAGAGACAGACAGACAGATTTATTTGCACACATATTAGCTTTCAGTTTCAAGGCATTGCTAATATTAACTCAAAACTACGAGAGGAGTAACTGTGTAGTTACCATCGTAATCCCGGCACCGCTGCTTGCGTGACGGGTTCTTATTGCTGAACGGCTTGCCAACGCCGTCTTGCCTCGCTTTGCCATAGTAGCCGGACCAGCTGTCTGTGGTGCCGTCGGGGATGTGCGCATGCGTTGCCAAGGGAATACCGCCGGGTCCCGCGCCGCCGGCAGTGGACGAGAAAGGGTGCAGGGGGGTGGGCAAGAGTGGCGACGTGAGCTGGGGAGCCTGCTGGGGCCTGCCCGGGGTGGACGAGTTGTAGCCGTCCGCGTCCTTCCTCTCCACCTCAAACTTTGACTTGAAGTCTGTCAGAAAGACAAAAAAAGTAACACAACAGAACACAGACGATCTTCCTGCCACATCTAACAAACCAACCTTGACGATAGTCGGCTACATTCGGGGCTGTGTGGCTAAATCCCGTGTAAGGTACATGCAAAGCGGTCCACATTTTATCCCACCGATTCAAAAACAGCCTCTTCCTCTGCTGAGCTGTGGTTGTTGTCGTTTCTCACCTCGTCCCCTGCTCTTCCCCCGGCTGCCACTCCTGCTCCGGCTGCGGCTGTTGCTCCTCCCGCGGGAGCTCCCCCGGCGCCGCTCATGCCGCTCCCGCTCGCGGTGCGAATCGCCACTGCCCTTGCCGTGACGATCAAAGTCCCGCCTCTTGCGCTCGTCCCGCCTCCTGTCATCGCGACTCCTGTGTGGTCGGAAATGGATATACGCCTTTAAATTCAGCCGTCTTACAAGTGCAGCTTTTCAAAGTCATCGATCTGACTTACAATCATGCATGCGAATATAGTTTAGACATACAGGGCTAGCTATAAGCTGTAAATCATCAAAATTATTAAACATAAAATCACTAAATATTTCAGTGCGCAGTGAATATACAGTATATAAGTTTCACTGATAGAATTCAATTTGTGACATAAAATTAGGTTTTCCACGATACTGAGATGAACAAAGTGTGTCACATAGCAACAAAATAATGGCAGTTCAATCGGCATTTGGATTGTCACGGTTAGAGTAGCACAACTATTGTTGTTTATGTAGTTTAGTTACGCGGAAAACTGAAGGCAAACTCAAACCTGGATTCGTTGAAGTCGGAGCGGTTCCTCAGAGGACTTCTCCTGCGCCTGTTTTCTCTCTCCTCCTCTGGAGTCTCAATCTTATGATAACAACAAAAAAAGCAATTATCTCTCTCGGTATGTTCAGAAAATGGAAACGAAGCAACTGATTCCTTCTTACTTCTACTGCATCTGATTTCGCTGGAGGAAGGTTCACCACTTCTTTTGGAGCTTCCTTGGCAACAGAGTTCCCCTGGTAATTCTTGCTTGTCAGACATTCAAAAAGTTTATCCACAAAGCCTACAGTCTCTGGAATCACACAATAAATAAAAGATTAGGTTAAGTCATCATTATTTGTCATAGGGCATCTTATGACCATGCCCATTCTCAATTAACAAAGTTATTGGCAGTGGAAAGTCAACCTATCCAAACCACTATAAACAGCCATTAAAACTTATCAAGTTTAAAACATTAGGCATGATTAGGCATGATTCACAAGCTGGTGGCTATTGTGCGAAACAACAGTTGGTTAAAAGTGAACATTTCCCCATGCATAATAGATAAATGAATAATTTCCAAATAGTTCAGCCGTGACACAACTGCAACCTTTGATAAGGGAGGCTACAAAATGTCTTGTAACCATTTTAACAATGGGCTCCTTCAGAGGACTAAATCATTGCAAATGTGGACACGTACGAATTGAGTTTTTCCAGGAGGATTCCAGGCACGTGCAATAGTGGCTGGAACGTGTGTCTCGCAGTTGTGATGTTTGCGATTGTGTTTCTGACTTAATGTGACAGGCACATATTTTGTTGATAAAAGAAGTGAGTGTGGCTCCAGCAGTGTAAGAAAGTAATACCTTTTTGTAGGAAGACGTCAAGCTGATCGGCACACAGCGCTTTGAGCTCCTTCTCCGGTTTATCCTTCTTCACCAGAGCCACAACGTAATTGGCTAACGCAGAGGGGTCAGCATCACATCTGCGAATCAAGAAATAGATCAACTTTCAAGCCCGAGTTTGAATTGCTTCACTGTACTTGGATACTTATAATAAAACAAGTTTTTAAAAATCCCATGTCGGATAGGGCTAGTTTGTCAGAAAGGTGTTCAAATGATGTAATAAATGAGCTAGAAACAGAGTACTTTAACAATCCATTTCACGGGACAGAGATGGTAACTATGGTAACACACGTGGCAACCGTCCACTCTTAGACATGTTTACACATTTTGCATCTATATGAATGCAAGTGAGCTTCTACAATTGCAAACAGAAAGGTGCATGCTGTGCTGCAGTTTGGAGTTGTGTTACAGAGTAAAGTTATTTTCGAAGGAGCCAATTAAGTTATAGAATTTAATTGTCCAACCATTGCGAGGATCGCAGTGAGCATGTTATTTCACAGGAAACTGAAAGTCAATTAGTTACTGAATAGCAAGCGATAGGCCACGGTGGTGAGGTTCCAGCAATTCCCCCCCTCATTGATGCTAACACAGTAGCTGGCTACGTAGCGTGCGAGCTAAATGACATTTCAATTCAATCACTCACATTGGCTCCAGAAGTTTTGCCAGCCACGACTTAAGAGCGTCCACATTCTCTATAATCATCGTGAGGAAGACGATAACACGGTCTAAAAAATGAAACGGAGCCCCGAAACGTCTGCTTTCATCGCCTATAAATTTGTCAGCTTCGGGGCCTTTGCTCTCTACTGGCAGATCGTACCGCAGCGGTTTACGGCACGTAAACTCTCTTGAAGTGTTGTAAAGACTCATTCGTGCACTGCACGCTGACGTTATTTTTATTTAAATCGTGTTTTTGCCGAACCATACATATCTAAAATATCATCACAAGCATAGAATTTGCGCATGAAAAAAACACCGTCTTTTTTTGTAGATAAAGTTGACCAAAATATTTACGTTGTCGGAGAGCAAGCGTGATGTATGTGACACCTCCGTGGACTTCATCTCCCAGAGTTCCTTGCGAGTAGCATGGTGGTGTCATCAGCCGGGTAGAGGTGGCGTGGGTTTCCTTTGCCTTTCCTTCTTGTGTATCGCTTGAGTTTATTTTTTTTACGAACTAACGGAGTAACATATTTGTTGTGCCAAAATGACGGTAAGTTTATTCTTTTGTGAGTAGTTTTTTTCCCAAAATATTGGCCTGATACAGCCATCGTGGGCATTTTGCACTGCAACTACATTGACATGCTGTAGCTTGTAGCAACAGCAAGACAGCTAGCAAACGGCTCGACAGTCAAAGTACTGTAACTACAGAAACCTAAACTAAAGAATGGTTCTAAAGCTTGATTTCCCTGCGAAGTGTTATAGTCCCACCGTTTTGAGACACGCATTTGAAGTTCTAGCTGCCACTGCTTTTATGTACGTCTTGGTTCCCATGTCTTTCCAGGAGCGTAAGGGAACTGCAAAGTTGGACTTTTTGAGAAAGATTGAGCTCGAAATCCAGGCTAAATGGGAGAACGACAAAACCTTTGAGAGTGATGCAGCGACAACAATTGGGGAAAGTGCACAGTAAGAGACGCACGTGGTTACATAATGCTGTTTGCGTTTGGCTTTGGGGGATTTTTTTCCCCTCGCATTCGATATGGGAAATTGACAGATGATGCGCAATGTCACTTGGGAATATTGATGCACTGATGCGATGACTCCCACTTTTGCTTGCATATTTTAATCAGTCACTCTGTTTCACAGCAAAAACAAGTATTTTGTCACCTTTCCCTACCCTTACATGAATGGGAGGTTGCATCTTGGTCACACATTCAGCTTGTCAAAGTGTGAGGTAAATGCACTTTATTTAGGAAGGGAAAGAAGACCAGACATGGAAATGCATCCCGTGTTTAATGGTGTGTTTTGTAGTTTGCAGTTGGCTACCAGTCCTTGAAAGGGAAGAAATGCCTTTTCCCATTTGGTCTCCACTGCACAGGCATGCCGATCAAAGTGAGTTCCTGAAGATTGCCTCATGCATGCAGTGTGTAAATAACACTGCAAAAAAGATAACACTCTTTTTCACAAAGGCCTGTGCAGACAAGCTCAAGCGGGAGATGGAACTGTTCGGAAATCCGCCACAGTTTCCGGATGAGGAGGAAGAGGAGAAAGAAAAGCCAAAGACTTGTGATGAAATCATCATCAAGGACAAAGCCAAGGGAAAGAAGGTCTGAATTTGAGATGCCTTTAAATTTGTATTTTTATGGCTTCTAATAGTCCCAATAAATAAGCCTTTGGGCGGAGGCGTCATCCATTTAAGACAATTAAATGCCTGCCTCAAATAGATATCTCCTTTTCTCCTTCTAGGAGGGAAAAATATATATATATTGGTGGGAGTTTCACAATAAACATGTTTGCTTGATCATAAAGGCTGAATTTGTGATATTCTGTGGTTGCAAGTCATTAGTTTGTGCAGTTGTAAATATGAAGTTAAAAAACAATATTACGCTATTGCTGTGTATTTCCAGTTTCTGCCATTTTGTGATTGTGTTTGCCTCTTAGAGTAAAGCAGTGGCGAAGTCCGGGTCTGCCACCTTCCAGTGGAACATCATGAGGTCTCTCGGCCTGTCAGACCACGACATTACCAAGTTTGCCAATGCCGAACACTGGCTGGAATATTTCCCACCTTTGGCTGTGAAAGATCTCAAAATGATGGGCGTCAAGGTACAAATGAATTTTTAGCATTTTTTTTCCACACAAGTTGAATGGTTATTTAATGTGCCCTGTGGTCTCCCAGGTGGACTGGCGACGCTCGTTCATCACCACAGACGTGAACCCTTTCTACGACTCCTTTGTCCGCTGGCAGTTTATAACCCTGAAGGAGAGAAAAAAGATTAATTTTGGGAAAAGGTGAGCTGTAAAGAATCGGCGTTTGTTGAATGTCAGTTTATATTATGATTATTTTTGCAGGTATACCATCTACTCCCCCAAGGATGGACAACCATGTATGGACCATGACAGGCAGACAGGAGAGGTACGCTCACCTCCTGCTATGAAAAACAAGATATGATCGTATTTAATCACTACTACAGGTATCCAGGATTATCAAAAGGTGCCTGACATTCTAGATCACATATGTCAAAGTGCCGGCCCGCGGGCCAAATCCGGCCCGCGAGAATGTTTTCAGTGGCCCCTGGGATGATATTGATTTATTATTAGAACCGGCCCGCGGACTGCAGCAAGCCGAGAGCCCGCAGATCTTTTACACGCACCAAAACTACATTTCCCACAATGCAACGGTGACGCGCCAAGCAGTCGGCCGCTTTATTTAAATATTTATTCGTCTCGCAGTCGTTCCCATAACAGTGACATTAGCTTTCAGATACCCATCAAAAATGGCAAAACGGAAGGTGGACACTGAGAACCGCGGGTTTCAAACAAGGTGAGAGTCGAAGAACATGTTCATGGACGTAGCTGGAAAACCTG